GATGAGGCATCTACTAGTTCTCTGGGCAACCTGTGCCAATGTTTACATTCGAGCCAGCCTCTGTTGAGTCAGTGCTCCTTGACCAACAGCAGCTACACCACATGAGTTAAGCTGCTAGAGCTATGGATTATTGACAGAGTGGTGGTCTGGGCAGCTGATGAATTTATCAATTCAAGTGGTAGAAAACACCTCTAGTGCTGCAGTCAAGTAGAGCTGAAAGTACCTGATGAGAAAAGTACAATACTTGAATGAAGATTGATTGAAAGTAATGCTGAGGCTTGGACTTTAGGAGCCTCCTTACCACCCATAACAAACTTCAGTTCCACTAGCTTGGAAAATTGTCTTTAAACAACATATTTCTTAAATGATAGATAGCAAAATGCTGCTTACAATAAACTGTTCCCCTACCATTGCCCCCACTTCCCCACTGATGTAATGGCTATGCCTGCTAACATCAGGATCTTATTACATAACAGAATGCCTGTGTGTCTGTTACATGCCTTAATTTAAGTTTCAAAATCTCATTTGTCCTGCCTAAAACAACTAGCTGTGCTTCCCTTCTTCTGTTGCAATTAGCATAAACTGATTCCCAGTAATAAGACATAGTACACACGTCATTTGGTGGCCAACCTCTCTCCCTTCATTGTGTTTTGGACTGGGATGGTGTCAAATTAGCAGCAGCAGATGTTATTTTTGTGTACAAGCTCTTGAAATTCACAAAAGATTCTTTCTCTCCCAAGTGATCTTCTTGAATATGGTGGAATTAATCCGCTGATTTGAGTATCTGCATGGTCTTGTGAGAATGTTTCTGCCTTGTGTATTTCCCTTGTGAATATTCATCACAGATAAAGACAAAATGTCCTAGTTATTATACTTGCCATGAGATATCTGGACATCCGCCACCATGTTTTCTGGCCTTGGAAAAGTTGCTGGAATAGCTGCTGGCCTGGCTATTGCATTCATCATCTTGTTCCAGATGGAAAGCAGACTCTCTGGGTTGCCTGTGTGGTGTACATCAGCAGCTGGTACTGTCAGGATGATGTTCTTGTGGCCAGCTCAGCCCAGGGGGCTGGGTACTGACAGATGGTTGGCTACCAGGCAGAGATGTCAGTTTGCCCATATTCAGCATTCAGGTGAAAAAAGGTAGCCAATTTAAAAAGAAGTTTTAAGTGTGAAGAAAGAGGAGAATCATCATAGCTAAAATCTTTTGCATAGCCTCAGAAACAGTAAGTTATCTAGATGTAACTCTGTTTTACTGAATCATGGGGAGATCCTGGGATTCTGGCATGGGGTCCAATCCTCTTTGGTGACCCCCTTCTGTTGTTGCTGCAAGGAGTTGATGAAACTCAGTCTTTAATATCAAGCCACTTTAAATGTGTCTCAGACATGCTTATACTGGGAAACTGGAAAGAGATTAATTCCTAAATGAAAGTCCTATCAGTATAATTTCTTCACTGAGAAATGCAAAGCTTTATGCAAAGACATTCTCGGGACATTACATATTTTGACATTTTCCATATACATGATCATAAAAAAAACACAAACAACCCAAACCAAAAACCAAACCAGGAAAATATAGGCAAGCCATAAATACAGAAATATAGTGCCCTGCTATAGTTAGGTTTCAGGATCACTTACCAAGCCTGAAGAATGGAGACTGCAAGCTTGCCCAGTCTTTTTAATTGTGACTGATATTTGGCCTAATGTGTTCCCCTTTGTCACTATGATATATATGAGGCCACACCACAGACTAGAGACTATCACGGTTGTGTTTTTTTCAACTTTGAACTTCTTTACCACCGAGGGAGGCCACTTCAGCTCTGCAGAATAGCTGAGGTCATCACTGTGACAGTCACCAAAAGGTGCTGCAACTTGGACAGGCTTGGGTAGCTCCATCCAATCTCTGTGTTCTGTAGCTACCATAGGCAACAAAATATTCCTGTCTCAGCAGGGAAAGGCAACAGAATACTTCCATATGGAATATTACTCTTCACCTTGGCACGGACATCAATCAGACGAATGTAGCTTGACGGGATTCAAGGGCAGAGGTTTGGTAGATACCTGACTTACCCACGTGCCCATCCACAGCACAAGGACAGCCACGTTCCTCCCCTCTGAAGCTGCTGCTATTTGACACAGCCTTGACCCTCTCTCCTATGTGAGCATTCTGGGACACTTCAAAGCACAGCTGAAAATATACATCTCCACTGACAGAGGTCTTTAAGTTTATTCCCCTCTTCTACAGTACAAATGAGATTATTCTTCTGTATTTCCACCCCGTCTCTTCCCTGAGCAGTTTAAGCCATTGTGCAGCTTACAGCTCTCTTAGTTATTTTAGGTACTGTGGGAATTTTAGGGAGCTCTGTTTCAAAAAATTTTGTTTGTGTGTGGAAAATTTTTCTTTACAAGGTAGCTTAAGATTAATCCCTTGGTTACACTTTAGTTTTTACAGTATATTTTCCTCTGTTTCACAGTCACATATGTATGTTTATTTCAAACCATGGGACATTTAAACATGCTAATTAATCCCAAACTGGTCATGAGATTGCTTTTGGACTGATCTAATCCTTGGAGTCAGGAGCTGGATCCCAGTTTAGTACATCTCACACATACTTTCTTTTCATTCTGCAGAAGCAGCAGCAGCTTCTGGCTGATTCTGTGCCTCCCTTATATTTTCCCACTGTAAGAAATGGCAGTAATTTATGCAACCCATCTCTGTAGGTTTCAGGTACATTTTTGAACCCTTACCATGAGCTGGACCATATTCAATTTGTCCTATGCTTATTACAAGCCAATTTGGTAAGGCTGTATCCCTAATCAATACCCAACACTCAAGCAGAAGTATTTGTTTCATAAAATATTGTGCAAAAGGAACTGTACTTCCTCAAAGAAAAGAGCCATTCCCATATTCCAGAGGGGCCTTTATATGGGGAATACAGTGGCCTATTGAAACTTCAGTTCACACACATAGCTTGTGATCTCCAGTTTCATCTGACTGTCCATAATCTCTGCATCTGCAGCAGCTTCTTTTCATTCTTGTGTAGCCTTAAGTTATCAAGCAAGAAAACCCTCAGAAATTTTTTTATCCCACTCCTTCTATTCCCACAGAACTCCCTGGACACCTAGTATTCCACTGCTCTGCAGTGGAAATCCAACTTATGCTGTGCTCTGGCAATAATCAACTCATATTGAATGTTTTCAAGTGTTAGTTCAGTCATTCATCCTCTCCAACTACTATTCCCATGTTCTCATGAACATTCATGTTTCCTATTATTAGCACCATTTTACCACGCAAGACTGACCGGGAAGAGGCTTTTAAGTGCCCAATCAGGTGCACACAGCCCTGAAACCCTGAGCAAAGTGGTCAAAAAATCATTTATGTCACTGCCATAGTGCAGAGTTCACTTTCTGCTGAGGTGATGGTTCATCTAACCTACCTCACAAGTAGACAAACCCTCTGCGCTCTCTTAGGGGATGAATTGCCTAAAGGGAGCCTTGAGTGAGCTGCTCAGATTGAGATGGGTAATATCTGGAGGCCAAACCAGGGCAGATGAATCCCACTTTATCTATGTTTGGTTTGTGGATTAATTCCTAAAGTTGCCTCTGGAGAATCAAAGGCTAAAATAACCAATACAATTAGCACAAATTTCTCTAGTAGTCTAACTAAATTTTTAGAAAACAAAAGAGTAGAACCTGTTATTAAATTGCCAGCTCCTTCAGTACCACTGAGTTCTTTACTATCAACAGAAGAAAAAGCCGTGTTTGAAAATAATTTGCTGCTAGCCAGAAAGGTTATACAAAAGTAGTTAATAAAATTGACAGTCCTTGCTATTTCACTTCACATTTGTCCTTGAAGAGGCATTGTGCCTCAGTGTGTTTCTCCAAGTGCTTTGGCAAAGCCGGTGCTTCAGCTATTAGTGAAATCATCCTTAGCCTGATAATAATAGGAAAGCCTTAATCAAATCTTTGTTGGGTTCCCTACTAGCAGAAAGGAGTAAAGATAAACAGCAGACAACTTTCCATTAAAGGCAAACTGACTGTAAAAATGAAGCCAGTAAGTCTACATGTAATCTGAAAACCTCACTACTGAACCCACCTAGTTTATCACAGCACGAACATCCTCTGTTTCTGGTTTTATTTTTGCTAAGATCAATGTGGCCTCCTAATCTATTTTACTTTTTTTCCACTTCAGCTCCTGTTCAGGTCGGTCTAAGGTGTGTTCAAGGATTTTCCCATGCATGCTGAATTGTTCTGTAACTGCTGCTTGAAATACAATTTCACAGAAATTATTCAATGTTTCATGCACGTCATGGTTTAAGACCAGCTGGAAACTAAGTACCACGTAGCCCATTGCTCACTGCCTTGCCTCTGAGCAGGGGATGGGGCGGGATGAAGTAGAATGAAAGAAAGGTAAAAGTCATGGGTTAAGAACAGTTTAATAACTGAAGGAAAGTAAAATGTAACAATAATGCTAATGATAATAACAACAACAATAGTTGCAATGACAGGCAGAGAAAGAGACACAGAGAGGAATAAAACCCAGGAAACCTGAGTGATGCAGAGTCCAGTCACTGACCGATGCCCAGCCTGTCCCTGAGCTGTGATCAGTGGCACCCAGCCAACTCCCCCCACTTTATATACTGATCTCATAACAGATCTGATAGTACTTTGATACATTTTGTATATTTTTTAAGTGGACACAGGCTAAACTTTTATTCATAAACTCATTAGGGATAAAATATGCTTCTGTAGGTAAGGCCAGGTCTAAATCTTTACACCATGTAAGTCTTCCAAAACTCCAAACCACTACTGAGACACTGTTTAAACTATGATTGGCCTCTGCATTTATTTTATTGGAAGATAAACTCATACCAGTTATGAATAGGAATGGAAAAAAGTTTGAAACACAAAGTAAAATATTAGGTCTATGAATCATTGGGAAATCAGAACCATATCTGAGCCAACACAAAAATGAAAAGCTGTTATAACAAGTATCTGGGTAATTTCTATTCTAGTCTTTTTTTACTGTCTTGATGAACTCTGCTCCCTCTCTGCTCCCTCATGCTGTCAGGTCAGTGCTTGTGTTTTAACTTTTGCTGAGGCCATGAGTTAAACCATTACTGATTACAATCAAGTCACTTCTTTGCTTCCACTCTCCCATCTACATTGGTTGTATCTTGTTGTCAGGCCACAGTTAAGAGTGACAGCAACAACTTACAACTGACCTATTCACATAAAGCTGGATGTTGGGTCACACAGTCATAGAATGTAGGAAGAAATCTACAGCATTTCAGTATCAACTATATATAATATAACCTGTATACAAGGCCACTTTCATAATAGTAGGTGTGGAAGTTCTGCATAAGTAGAGGAATGAAAAATTAGGGATTTTAGAGTTACAAAAACAATAGTTAAAATCTCATGTCACTGAGGTTATAACATTGTGGAGGTTACTATTTGCTTTAAAGATCTATATTTCCTTGATATTGTCCTTGAGACTGTTCCAGTGACTGCTTCACCCTGAAAACTTCCATTTCACCAGAGAAAGGTTCTGTAGGAACTAAATAAACTCTGAATTACATTCCTCCTGAGGTGAAGAACCCAGAACAAAGCTCATTGATTATTTAATCCTTCAGAAGATAGATTGCAGATCTGCAGACAAATTCCTGTTGAATTTCTGTTGGGTTGACCTCCATTGTCAGCAAGAAGCTGAAGAATCTAGTGTAAATCTAAGCACATAGTGAGCTATCATGCAGCACACAAGGAGAAAAAGATAGGCCATAGCTAGTATGAGAATCAAGATTTAGATAGTTTTCCTTTATGGTTTGTAGGATTTCATTGGGTCCTGTTCCCAGCTGGGTAGAGAGGACAGTTCCAGAGACAGCTCTTTCTTGATAGGCCATCCCCAGGCTGTAAAGAATGGAGCCAAATTTTTATTCACCTGCTGAGAAAACTTCTGTGCCCACAAGTTCATCTTAGAAGGGTTGTCTTTTGGGATGGTGGACATTTTCTGGTAGTCAGAGAAGAGGCGGATGAAGGGATCCCAACCAAACCCTTCCTGCAACTGAAGGAGAAGAATATACTGTAAAAACAATTAAGTTATCATTTCACTGGCGTTATTTCTGTATTACAAACAGTAGAATATTTCACAGTTTTCTGCAATGTCTTTTGGAATGAATGTAAACTTAGATGAAAGCATCCAACTTTCAGGCTTCAGAGCATAACTAGAGCACAGAAAAATACCTTCCTATTACACTGGCCTCCCAAAACAAACAGAGATGAAAGATGCAGAAATGTCAGCAACCTACTAGACAAGCTGCTGCTTTGGAGAGAGGAAAGCTACTTGTGCAGTGAAAAAACATCAGAGGACATTGGCAGAATACCTAGAAAGAAGGAGCACAGGAGAACAAGGAGAACAAGGAGTACTGAGAAAACAGGAAGGAGAGATTGTGAGCAGAACATGTTTTGGCTAGGAATAAGAACAAAAGGGATTCATACAGAAAAGCTGCTGTTGCAGAATTGTCATTTTTCTTTCACGTCACATTTATTCCAGCAGTTGTGCTATTGACCAGACAGGACGTGGTTACTATATATATATATATATATATATATATATATATATATGTATATAAACCTCAGCCTATAAGTGTGAGTGAGGTAGGGGGACACTGGCCAAACTGATAAAGTATTGTGGGAAAATTTCCCTTTTTAAAACTGTTTCACTCTGTATAACTATTTTTATATTCATTGCGCAAGAAAAAAACAAAGGTTTACTCTTCAGCTTGATGATTCAGGTGCTTCTCTGGGATGTGGAAAAATCAGGATCGATACTTAAATATTTTGGTGCTCATATAAGATGTGAGAGCTTCCAGACAAGGGGGCTGAGGGAAACTTACTTCGCAACAGTCAGTAGGTTAAGCCATCATAATGGACATTTGCTTTATAGTCCCCAATTAAAATCAGGTTGAGTGCTCTCTCCATTAGACTACTAGTTGATAAGAGGATTAAAGGGAAAGAGGAAAATCTCTCTTGCATGCTTCCCAAGGGAATGCTCTTTAATCTAGGACAGGGTTCATGTTTTAAAGTCTCATGTTTTATCTCTCTTTAGAGCTGAACCCACCCCCTTCCCACTTGATGGACTACACTGGCTCCACTCAGTGCATTGACTGATATGAATACCGTGTTCTTTGTATGTTTTGTAAAAAGGAGCCTGGCCATGATACTGCTCAAAGCCTGGTTCTTCTAGACATTTTACTGTGCCAAGATTTTTTCACCAGCTAGCCCAGTGTCCCACAGGAAATGCGCAGTAGATTAAAGAACTGTGCCCAAGTCTGATCATCCTTTTCCCATGCTGTGTAACCAGCAGCAGTTCCTGTTTCTCTCCTAGGGAGAAAGATTAGTATATTGCACCAAGCTACCTCTATGACCGGCTAAGCCCAAGTCTGGCAAAGGAAGGTTTTCAGGAGACATCAGCATTAAACACTCTGCCTATATTCCTCCCATGCCCTTTCTGGGTCCAAGATGAACCCAGATAGCAAGACATTTACGAGGCTTGACAGCTACAGTCACCAGGCTGCAGCCATCCCTCTGACACAGGCTTCACTGACTTTATTAAGAATGCACACGCTTCTCCCAGTTACCTGCAGGTATGTCTCCAGAGCAGTCCACACATTCCAGTCCTTTAGCTGAGCGCCTTTCCTCAGATACTCTTTTATCCTTTCCTGCCGACACTGTGACTTAAGGGCCTGATGGGCCTGATGCCTGGGAATCCCCAGCACCTTCTCATGAACATAGACAGACCAGAGGTTGCATGTGGCCTCTGTGGTATGAGGGGGAAATTCCCACGCTTGCTGCTGTTGATTGTGTCCCAGCTCATGGATAGGACCCCAAAGACCAGTAGTTTGCATATGCTTCACATCTAACATCTCCTTCACCGAATCTAGGTGGCCCATGATGGGGTATCCAGCATGCATCCAGCCTGCAGGAGGGACAGGTATCAAGACACGTCACCAAGTGCTCCCCTCAGTGCCTCTCAGACATAAGTGACTAACCTTTTTTTTCATTTCTGGGCACGTTGCCTTTATCTCACAAACCACACTGTACTACTATGAATGACCAATTTTCCCCCTTGTGAGATAAGGAAACTCATCATGTTTCACCCCAGCAAATAGTCAAATACACTGTGTAAAGGTAGGACTGAAATATCAGTTAAGCACAGTTTCCCCTCCTTTCCCTTTTCATACATAAGCATACACTCATGGTTGAACTGAGGTTGAGATTCTGGAGTGAGGGGAAAGGCCTGACCATTGCCCAGAATACTCACAAACTGAGCACAGTTGATGCCGACACAAGCACGTGATTCAGCACCATGGCAGACCTTGAGTCTTCCTGTGCAGAGTGTGGATACTGCAGGTCTACACTCCAGTAGTCAGTGGTGTGGATGAGACACATGGAAAACACAGTTTGTCCTGCAAAGCTTATCATACTTAAGCCTGGTCTTAGCCTTGTAGGATAGCTATTCTGTGAACAACTTCCCACCTTGATGCTGGACAAGAATCTTGCATTATACGGGGGAGTTTACTTATGACTCCTTTGTGTCTTCATCTCTAATTGATCCTTCTTGAAGAAGCCCAAAACTTGATACAAGAGTCATTCCCCCAAACTCAAATGCCTGTTGTAATAGGGAATAAGCAGCCCTTTACACTCACTGCAGAGGGAGCCCACACAGCTGACTTTGAACAAAAAGCTTGCAGACTGCTCAAGTTGGAGAACATGAATGGCAATCCCCTTCCCACAGATCTTAAGCCTCCTCTTCTTTTAACAAGAGGGATGCATGCATTTAGCAATCACTGTTCAGGTCCAGAAATGTGAGTAAAACCATTTAGTCCACCCAAACCAGAAGGGAATTTTTTGTTTGAAGACTATGATCTTTTTAACGGGCACTTGCTCAGGATAGCAGAACTTAACACTCCCAAGATGTGCCACAAATCCTTTCCATGTGGCTTAGCAAAGAGTTAGGACATCAGGGTTCATGCCAAGCCCTTGTCTCTTTGTGAGATAATGAATTTAACCAGTATATTTTGAAAAACAACTGAAAAAAAAAATTTATTGCAAAGTTCATTTACCATATAATCTAGATCAAAGGCACTCGGTTCTCAGCTGGAAAAGCTGGAGTGGGAAGCATCAGCTGCAAAAACACACACTCATGGGTTTTGACAGCAATACAGGTTCTACTCCTCCATTGCCATCCTCTCAGGCCCATATTTCTGGGCTAAGCTTTGCCCACAGAAACCTTTGTGGAGCCCATCTCCAGCAAGTAGGCACTTGGAGCTTTAAAAATTGTCACTGAACACATAAAAACAAACCTGTGACTGAGGTAGAGAAAAAATAGAAATCGGGTCACTGTCTCCCAGCTGTACTGGCATTCAGGAGGGAGAATGAGTAACTCTATGTGAGCTAAAGCCACTGCAGTCAGCAGCTCTGCATCTTAACACACCCAGACAGAAGAACAGCTGAGGAGATAACTAGTTTTGAGAGCAGGGAGTCCTCTGAAAAGGTCAATATGTTTTTCGAGCCCTGTCTTACCATATTTCCACCCTGATGGAGTATCTCGCAATTATGCAAGGGTTACAGTCATTTAACACCTCACATATGTTCCCTGTCTGGTTTTAGCAAAATAACCTTGAAGGAACAGACACTGGTGCTGGAGGTCACTTGTCTCTTAGCCCTCAGGAAGGCCATATGGCAATGTACCTACCACATGAGATCTGGACATCTGTTACAATCCTCTCTGGCCTTGGGAATTTCATTGGTATGGCTGCCAGTTTGCTTATTGCCACCATGATCTCATTCCACAGGGTCAGCAGTGGCTGTGGGTTCTCCATGTGGCGGATGCTGTCGGAGGGCACCGTCAGGATAAGATTCTCAACAGCCAGTTCTGCCCAGGGAGCAGGGTAGTGCCGGATACAGGCCTTCCACTGGCTTTCACAGGTCTCCCCTACGTCAACACCAAAGAAAATAGGTTTAAGAGCAGCTCTGACTTTTGGGCACACTTAAAGAGGTCAAGCTTGGAGTAGTCCATGGTCACGAAATTTTCACGGAAAACAATGCCATGACTGGGCGGGGGTGGCTGTTAAATAGCCAACCCTTATTCTGTACTTAGGAAGTCTCCCCAGGCTCCTTAATTGGGTAGGAAACAGACAGAAAAGGACTGGCATATAACAGAGTAGCATAGCAAGAACAGATCCCTGTTTTTCATCAGAGAACAAGAAGCATCAAGTTTCTCCAGTGTCTGATTTCTTCTTCTCTAGCAGAGATTTGCTGTTTCACACAACAACCCTGGTTCGGTTTAGTTTGACAGAAGAGAAAGAAGAAATTGAATCCAGAAAGAGAAGAGAAACCGCTGGAAACACAGGAAATTCATCAGGGATTTATTGTGGAGACTAGAGATGGCCAGATGGGGGCACAGTAAAGCAGGCAGAGCACAAGGCATGCTTTGTCGTGGCAGAGGTCAGTCTCCCTCTTTTAGTTTAAAACCATTACCCCTTGTCCTGTCACAACACACCTTGCTAAGAAGTATGCTCCCATACTTCTTACTGGCCCCCTTTAAAGGCCACAATAAGGTCTCCCAGGAGCCTTCTCTTCTCCAGTCTGAACATCCAAACTCTCTCAGCCTTGCCTCACAGGAGAGGTGCTCCAGCCCACCAGCAATCTTCACAGCCCCCCTCTAGACCCACTCCAACAGGTCCATGTCTTTTCAATTTTGAAAGAAGGATTTTTTGGGGGACCATGTCAAAGGCCTTACAGAAGTTCAGATAGACAATATCCATAGCTCTTCCCTTGTTCACTGATGTAGTGACTCCATCATAGAAGGCCACTAGGTTTGCTGGGCAGAACCTGTCCTTGCTGAAGCCATGCTGGCTGTCCCAAATCACCTCCCTGTTCTCCATGTGCCTTAGCATAGCATCTCGGAGAATCTGTTCCATGATCTTCCCAGGTACAGAAGTGAGGCTGACAGTCCTGAGGGCCACTTTTCTACCATTTTTAAAAATGGGTAGAAAAATGGGAATCCCAGAGGACACCATAGTAAGAAAACTAAATCTGGGTATTCCTAAACCCAAGCATTTTTAAGACCTTCCTAAGCACAGGACCATCTTTACTTTCAGTCAGAGGGACAGCAGCACCTGTGAGCAGCCCTAAGGAAAAAAGCACCAAGATACCAAGCTTGAACATACCAAGCTTGAAGAAAACATACCAAGCATACAAACATACCAAGCTTGAAGAAAGGAGCTCTGACTGCCCCTTCCACTGTGATGGGCACCTTCCCCAGGACACTCCTTGCTGGTACTATGATATAAATCAGGCCACCCCAGAGGCAAGAAATGGACTGCTTCTGGCAGGCAACATCACAGGTGCGTATTACCACTGGCGCCCGTTTCAGCTCTTTGGCATGAGAGAGGTCATCTGTGTGACACCCAATCTGCACCTGCCAAACAGAAGCATAGGGACAGCTGGTCAAAGGTGTCCGAGTGTGACTGCCTCAACTACATCCTTCACTAGTTGGTCAGGGTACTGCAGTGACTTCTTTCACTGCACTGTACTTGCATTGATCATTCCTCTACCCTTTACCAGAAGCAAAGTCACGTCCTGTAACACAGGAGTTGGAGAGGTGTGAACACGGCTGACGTCTTTTATTGTGCCTTTTCCTTGGACCTCTTACAGGAAAACAAACAGTATGTGGCTGCAGGATCAGACAGATCGCCTGAGTTAATTTTGCATTTCAGCTGCAAAAAATGTTCAAGCAGGTAAGCATTTACCTATGTCATATTTCATGGAGAATGGGATCCCAAGTAACAGCGTATCTCTGATCTGGATACATCTACATGAGCAGTAATGACAGCAGTGTCAAAGCAATTTATGAGAAATCTGAAGAGATGGAATCAAGTTTCTTGCATAGAAGGGCCCATCTCTCTTTGCAAAATAACAGAACGAACATAGCTGCTCCCAAGCAGCAAAGACATTTAATTATCCCTCCAGCACACAAAACCAGGAAGAATGCAAAAGAAGAGAGTAAGGACACACGAGGTGAAAAAATAATAACGAAGCATTTGAAGTGCCACAGGGTGGCAGCAGTAGGAAGGGACTGAAAAAGGTAACAAAAAACGTTAAGGAGAGAATTTTTGAGCACTCACCTGTCAAATACAGAGGTGTAAACTAAAGCCAAAATAGAGAGAGTTACCTTCAGACCAGCACCGACCACTAGGCAAGGGCATGTTATAACTGCTGTGTGCCCTTCAGGGAGGTAGAGTCCTGTGCTCCTCCAGGCTGTCTTACCTAAAGGTAAGAGATAACACAGTCCTGAACAGTCAAGCTCTTCTTTGTCCTGACCATTACAGATTCTGGAGACTTCAACTTGCAGCAGGAAAATAATATTCCATCCTTTTCTTATCCCTTGCTCTACACTCAGAGAACCATCTCACATTTTACCCAACCTGCCAGAAATACAGTTTCAAAGCTATAGGGTAGCAGCATGAACAAGAACATCAAACCATTAGTAAGCAAGCCCACACAAATCTGAACTTCTGGAAATGCCAGGCTCAAACACATTTACTAGTATCCTTTAAAAATATTCCATAATAATAAAAAAAGAAATCAAAATTCCAACACCTCCTCCACTCAGATCCTCTTATTCTAAAGCCCTCCTACAGGGTGCCAACTACGCTGGTATGAAACACAGTTGAAGTTGTAATAGTTATAAAATATCTGCCAAATAATGGACTGAGAGTAGCACTGCATTTTTCCCTATTCATTTGCATTTTTCCAGCACAAGCTGGAGCCCATAGGAATTCCCATTTCTAGCTGACTGAAGTTGTGAGAAGGCCTAAAGAGATCATTCCATGCTAGATGCAATGGTAAGACGGATATCCCATCATGGCACTACAATTCAGCATGTTTCTAGACAGTCTTCACTAGGAAAAGCAAGTCTCCTCACCCTAGATCTCTTTAAATATTTGCAATACACAGCGCAAAACTGATCCATGTCTACTGTACAGATTGGGTAGATTCCACTCCCAAGCTCTGACATAAAATTTACTTAGGTATGTTTCAATACAAACACTAAAAGTCCTAAAAAGAGCTGAACTGTCGTAAAGAACTCAACTTACAACCTTTTCTGTCATCCAAGACAGCAAGACCAGTTCTGTCAAACAAAACCTAATTCACAGAAAAATGCAAATTAGACTATATCACAATGTTTTACCAGTTCATTTCAGTTTTGCTGAATTTGCACCAAAGGCAGTCTTGAAATGGTGTTCAGGGTTTGCTAGCATTTCTTTCTTCTTTGTTTATGTGAAATGACACAAATTCTGAATATTTCTGGTTAAACAAAATACTGTGTTTGAGCCAATCCATTCAGTTCAACCAACCCTAACAATTTTCCCCTTTTGTCCGGACTCATTAATGCTAAAACCAATGAGCAGTTATTCCACAACTTTTCTCTTTGCATAACCACTGCACTCAGGCATTGCCACCCCAGAAACAGTCTCCTTTGTCTCATTAGAACAGTTTGGAAACAACCCTTATCAATCATACTCTAGTACAAAAAAACCCCCACCAAATCTCAAGATTAATCTGTCCAGGGGATAAAATCTTACTAGTGGAATTTAACCTACAGTTTAAACATACCAGTTGTGAGCAGGAATCTCAGCAAGCTTGTAGAGATACAAGGCCTAAGCTTAGACAAATCACTGATGACGTAATTACCAAATTCCTTGGCTTCAGTGGCGGTGTCAGCCCAAGAAGTTCCCATCACACTTCCAGCCTCTCGTTTTAACCTCCAAAACTAGATCTTCACTAACTGTGCTGATACAACAAGATGTGAGACTGTGCTATAACTCAGGCTGAAATCATCTAGAAAACAAAAAAACCCTTTTGTTTCTAACTCCTACCTCTTTTTAGGATGGCTCCATAGATGGCTGTATCAGCACAACTATGGTAACAGCAACCTGCAGTGTGGAGTACAGGGTTTCCCAAAGAAGCTTTCTTGCCAAAGCCATTGTGCTGTGCAAGAACCCTCTCCATTGTTAGGGGGTTCTTCCCCAGGTGCCTGTGCACCAAAAGTGAGGAAGAAGGGGTGTTTCAGAGTGCTGAAATCAGGGCTGGCCACAAAAAGAGCCCGTCTGCCACTAAACAGGAGTCGTCCTCCTGTCAAGCGCACAGTGAAATTGCACATTCAGACATACACAGACGGATGCATGCTGAGGCCTGGCACCATGCCGACCCCAGCAACAGGATGTTTCAAAAGGAAGGGAGAGACACTCCTCACCTGGGTTTGTGCCATCAATTTCCACAGTGATGGGGAGGGCACAGACTCCAGCAGCACATTTCTGCACCAAGGCTGCACTGTCTGTCATGGTGAGGGACAGCTCAGTTGCCATGCAGAGCAGGGCTGCCTCTTTGGAGTTCCTCTTGACAGGGCAGTGCCTGCTGACCTGTGGGATCCCGCTTCTCTGCAGCACTTTGGTCAGGATGCGGTGCAGCGAGGCGTATGCTGGGCAGTCGTGGGCGGGGATGCGCAGGAAGGCAGCGCAGTCTCGTGTCATGCAGTGCAGCCAGTCCTTCAGGGGCCCCGTGAGCTCCTCACATTTGTGCACCTGCGTGCTGAAGAGCAGGAGCGCCTTGCGGAAATGGTAGTGCTCCCCGGGCCCCACGGGCCGGTGCTTGGCCGCCTGGCCACTCTGCCCCAGGATACTCAGCCCAAAGCGGTTCAGGATTTTGTTGCCAGGATATTCCGCCACAGCGGCTTTGCCGCAGTTCTGGGAAGCCCAGTACCAGGCCTGGCCTCCCACCAATAGGCCACCTCCCTCTGCCACGAAAGCGTGAATCCTTTCCGCCTCTCTGTCGCTGTAAGAAGAGCAGCAGTACACGCTGAGGTCACCCGTCAGCTCTGACACCTGTGACTTCACCCCTTCCGGAGAGAGGAGGCTACACAGTTTCTTCAGGCTGGGATTCACACCCACCAGCCCCTTCCTCCCAGCATCCAGCCAGCAGACAGCATTGAGCAGGAATCTGGCCAGCTTAGGGGAGAACAGATGGCTCTCATGGGTCGCCACCACAACACGGCCTCGGCCATAGTGTGCCGCAGCCAAGAGGCAGCCGTGTGAGCTGTCCAGGCAGAGGGGGAAGGAGAGGACACCGTGCACCAGCAGGGTGGAGGGAATGCCCCCCGTCATCAAATCCAGCTCCAGCACACCACGCAGGAGAAACTCAGCATCAAGGCTGAGGTCGGCCTGGTGCCTGCAGAACCAAGACAGGTCCAGATTAGCCCCCATCCCAGAATGCTTGGCTCAAAGGTTAATCGCATCCATCCTTGCCTCTCCCTCCTCCCTCATCCTAGTATGTCATGCTGTCAGTTCTTTCATTAAAAAAAAAAAAAAAAATCCGGCAATATCTCATTTTTTTCCTTTTAAAGCTACAGTTTCTTCAGCCAAGCAAATCTGTAGGAATCTCAGCACTCATTTAGAAAAAGGAAAGAATAGGTCAAAAGGAAGTTGAAGAAACTCAACAATCAGACTCTTTGTATTTTTTAAATTGCAGGTTTAAACTTCAAATGATGTGGGAATTGGCAAATCTCCTATAACAGAAACTTTCTCCATTTGCCCCACCCTAGTCTTTATCAATTAGGCAAGCCCAAAAGATTTCTCTCTGCCATTTCCCAGCCTCTGCCACTGCTGAGAATTGAAGAAGGAGAGCTAGGACAGTTGGGCTATACGGACAGGCAGAGACACAGCTAGACAAACAATGAGTGACTAGAAGTTGAATCGGAGTCCTAACACATTGACCTCACCTTACCTCACACTACTGGTTTCCACAATATAAAGAGATTAGGCTGTGCAATATCTCTGCTATTTCCATATAACTCCTTTATGTCACTGTGGAGACTGACATGCTGAACGACTCTCATTTGCTTTGTGCACACTTTCTCCCAGTTTAGCCACACAGTTTTCCCCCTAACACCTATAAAGTACCTGTTGTTACATGGCCATTGCAGGCAACTCAGTAAGAATAAATGATGCTGCTCTTCTGCACACCTGTATCACAGGAATTAAATCTGCAGCTCTCCTTTGGCTACTTTACTGAGACTCTTTGTCACACAGAGTATGTGCCCTGGCTTATGTCACAGCACTTGCCTCAGACTGCACTCAGATTTTCTGTACACGAAGCTGGCAGGAAGGCCCAGATGCACAGAGCTGTTGTCTTACACAGAAATTACATATCTAAATTTCTCTGTGGCTCTGGATCGAATCAAAGTCACCACAAAAGCAACCTAAACAAGGTATATTTCACTTTAGTTACAATTTAAAGTCATGTTAATTGTGATGCAATTTTTCTCTGCTGAATTCTCCACCCCTCTCCCTCTTCTGTATACTGTGCATGAAGCAGTGGGAACATGTCTGTGCAATGCAGGTGGGGACAAGAACCAACCAGCAAATTTTAATTAATAACTTTATTAATTTGTTAGCTGTATTCTAAGCACCTCACTGAATCCAACAGCTGAGATTTATACTACCTTTATTGCTAAATAAATTGAGCATCCAGAAAGTATCAAATAAAACAATTTGAAAATATTAGAAATTTAATATTAGATATCCACAAGGAAAAGGCTGCGAAGGAAAGATTTGCAGGGCATTTTGCTGCAACTGTTGTGGCTTTCCCCACAGTGAAATGAAGCTGCCACACAGTGGAAGCACAGCAGCACTCATGCTCCTTGGAAAACCTGCTGTGCCTTGTGTAACTCAGCAGAAAGTGGCAGCAGGCACAGCCACTGGCAAGGGGAGGAGGCTGATAGAGCAATGCCCAGGACTCCAGTGCCTGGTTGGCTGTGTGATATGAGTCATAACAGCTCTGAGTTTTACACCTGATGCTCCAGGACCCAAGGGGACAGGCTGGAATCTCAAACAAACTGTGAGCACTGAGATTTCCAGCCCTCAGCCCATGTGAGAACTGAAAAGGAAGGTGGCACCCAGCCTGCCTCCTCACCTCTGGGGCAGCCCCAAGGTCTCACCTGCAGAAGGTGAATTCCTGCAAGTAACAGGCTAAACAGGTTTAGCAGCTGTCAGCCAAAGACTGGCCCAGAGGGCTGGCCTGGTGCTTCATCACCAACCTGGTTTTCAGCTACGGTAAAATAGCTCTAAATGTGCAGTGTGGGAAGAGGGAAAGGAGTTCCTCCTCCTGTCCCTGTGTTGCTGTGTGTTGCACTCAGGTACACTTGATCAGGTAGAATACTCTAAAAGATGGCTCCCCTCATTTTCCTGAATGGATTCCCTCAGCCTGTCTCAGCTGCCCTGGAAGCAGCTGAATCATAGAATCATAGAATCATAGAATCAGCAGGGTTGAAAAGGACCTCTGAGATCATTGAGTCCAACCCTTGATCCACTACCATTGTGGTTACTAGACCATGGCACTAAGTGCCACATCCAGCCTCATCTTAAAAACCTCCAGGGATGGAGAATCCCCCACTTCCCTGGGCAGCCCATTCCAATGCCTGATTACCCTCTCTGGAAAGAATTTCTTCCAAATATCCCACCTAAACCTCCCCTGGCAGAGCTTAAGACCATGTTCTCTTGTCTTACTGATAGTTGCCTGGGAGAAGAGACCAACCCCCACCTAGATAAAAGTTCCTTTCAGGGAGTTGTAGAGAGTGATGAGGTCTCCCCTGAGCCTCCTCTTCTCCAGACTAAACAATTCCAGCTCCCTCAGCCTCTCCTCATAGGACTTGTGCTCAAGTCCCTTCATCAGCCTTGTTGCTCTTCTCTGGACCTGCTCCAGCATCTCAGTGTCCTTCCCAAAACGCCATTCTTTCCAATTACAAGGAGTGGAAAGGTCCCCTTTAAACTGGAAGACAAAAGTTGCATCCCATGCTGGCTATTAAAGAACCAGCATTCACCATCATCCTCAACTCTCACCTCACAAATCTTCTACAAACAACTCAACTGCACAATCTGAACCATTGTTTAAATAGAGAGCAATTCAGATACTCACGAGACAACTAACGGGATCTTGGGAATTTTCTTGGCTACTTTGAAGATGCCTTTTTCCACAGCATTTCCTGTGAAGTACACGCCAGCCACGCTGGTCACTTGGTTCCCAGGGAATTCGAACAGCACCTTCTCCTTGCCATGTTGACTAGCCCAGTGCCAGGCTTGGCCTCCAATGAGAAGCCCTCCCCCTGCTTTTACAAAGCCAACCAGGTCTTTCGCCTTTGAGCTGTCATAGGCATCCACACAGTACACCCCCAGGGAGGGGCTGAGCTCTGCCCCAGCCTGTACTTTAGTGCCAGCCCTGAGCAGCACCTGGGAGAGGGAATCCAACTGAGAATGCACCCCAACCAGGGTCTCGGCGCAAGGCTTGAGCCACTCCACAGCATTTCTGAGGAACTGGGAAAACTTGGAGTCCTTCAAGATTCCTTCATGGGAAACAACCACCATCCGGCCCTTCCCATACTGTGAAACAGCAATCAGAACCTGCTTCTTAGCGCTCAGGAGCACAGGGAAGGCATCCTCTCCAACAAGGAGCAGTTCACATGGAACAAAACTGCCAGTGAAGTCCCATGGCCCAACACTGTTCACTAAGAGCTCATAGGTGGCAGAGGGTTTCATCTTCAGGAAGCTCCTATCTGGTGGAGAGAAGACCAACATCCATTACAGCATGGCTCAGCAACAAAGGACAGCTGTAACAACCCTGCTGAGTAATTGTCTTGTCTAGTAGGAACTCCAAACAAACAGGAATCAGCTTTGTGGACACAACTTTTTTGGGGATTTGGCATTTTATTTGTTTGCTTTTTTGGTTTTGTTATTACACTATTTTTAAATTTAAATTTAAACCGAAGTTAAATTTAAAATAATTTTAAATATTATTTACATTTAAAAATTAAAAAACTAAATTGACAAATATATTAAGATGATGGAGGCAAAGAGAATGACTGTTTCAACAAATTCTGCTGAGCGTCATGGGACAAAATAAGGAAATACAGGCATTCACTTTCCCATTAACAATTTATTTGGAGAGGGAGAGTGCCAGAGGTTCCAGGAAGTCTACTAGGAACTTGCTTGGTAGAGATGGTTCACACAGAAACAGACAGAAAATGAAAATATTGTATCAACAGAAAACACAACATAATTCGAACATGCAGCTCACATTTTAGCTCCTAATTGGATACATACAGAGCTACACACAGTTGCTGCAACATGCTATTCCAAAATTGTATTTTTCTACAGCTACACACAGTTGCTGCAACGTGCTATTCCAAAATTGTATTTTTCTACCTCCACTTTGGCACTATAAGCTCTTGCTTAGTATTAAAAATTGTTCTGAGGCTGGGGGAGAGCGAGCACAGACGATGGAGACGACCAGCTCCCTGGAATAACTGTCAGTTTAAGTAACACAGTACCTAGGAGAGAAGGTCTAGGCCCAGGAGATTCATGCCCTACTTTCCTGACCCAAACTGCTTTGCAATCTCAAGAAAATAACTTCCCTTTTCCGTAGCTTTGTTTCATCTGTTTTGCCATCTATGAAGTAAGGAGGGTGGTACTAACCTTGACTGCCAAGCCCTTCGGGGTCTATGGGTGACACGTGCTCTATTGAGGCTCCCTCAGTTTGAAAGTTTGGCTTAGCTTTTCCCTGAGGTTTTCTTCTGTTGAGCTGCAGCAGCTGTGACTGTGCAAACAGGAAGGCTTTGTGACGGTGAGTACAACCCACTCTCACTCAGTTTCTGTCATTCAAGATTCAGAGGAGTGACTTGGAGTGCACCACCTACTGCAAGCAGAGGAGCTGCACCGAGGGGGCGTGGCCCTCTCCTGGACAGCATCCCGCGCCAACACCGATCTTCACGTGCATTTCATATTTGGCTACCCTGAAAGCAAATCCTTGTCATGCAAACACAGGGAAATGGTAAGTCCTGGGGCAGCTGCATCCTGGATTTGGATTTGCCACAAGCCCCAGGGTGCTTAGAAACAGCAGCTTGATCAAGAATGACAGCATCATTCTCATTTCTTATCCTCTAGACATGCCTGGAAGTTCTGTTTTTCCACCCAAACTATCATGAGACTCCATTGTTGTTTTACATAAGATTTATGAGTCAAACATGCTGATTAACATAGGACAAAAACTACACTGCCCATTGTGCTGGTTTAAAAACCCAGTAGGAAAATTAACCCCACTCGAGTTGCCCATTCCCCTAATCCCTTACAACAACAGAGCAAACACTTGGAGAGACCACAACTTGAAATCACAGTTTTACTGAAAAACTCACCATAACCACATCAATATCAATTAAAGAGGGAACAAAAGAGAGAGTGCTCTACTTACAAAAGGGTATCCACCACCGAACGAACAAAACCACCTCCCATAGAGAGTGCCCTCCATCATTTTCTCAGACAAAGGCAAGATGGTATCTGACCCCCTCTCCATCCACTGGACCATGTGGCTCAGGAGAACAAAAGCAACAGGGCAAACAAGTTTCTGCAGTCTCATGTCCTCCCCCTAGCCCTGAAACAATGGAAAACGGGCAAAACAAGATCTAGGAAGCTTTTTTGTCCAAATAAGGATTGATGCTGCTGCTGAGCTCTTCACTCCACTCCACTAGACCAGGTGCTCAAAGCCCCATCCAACCTGGCTTTGAACACTTCCATGGATGGGGCACACACAACTTCTCTGGAAAACCTGCTCCAGTGCCTTACCATCCCCTCAGTAAAGAATTTCTTCCTAACATCTAATCTAAACTTGCCCCCTTTCAGTTTAAAGTCAGTACCCCTTTTCTTATCACTCCATGTCCTTGTAAAAAGCCTCTCTCCAGCTGTCCTGTAGTTTCTTTCAGGTACTGGAAGGGGCTCTAAGGTCTCAGCAGAGCCCTCTTTTCTCCAGTCTGAAAAACCCCAACTCTCTCATCCTGTCTTCATATGAGAGGTGCTCCAGCTCTCTGATCATTTTGGTGGCCCTCCTCTGGACTTGTTCTAACAGATCTATGTCTTCCCTTCCTAGGGACTCCAGAGCTAGATGCAGTACTCCAGGTAGTGTCTTACAAGAGTGAAGCAGAGGGGCAGAATCCCCTCCCTCAACCTGCTGGTTCCGCTGCTTTTGATGCACCCCAGGACACGATTGGCTTTCTGGGCTGCAACACATTGCCAGGTCATGTTGAGCTTCTTGCCAACCAACACCCTCAAGTCCTTCTCAGCAGGGCTGCTCTCAGTTAATTCTCCATGTAGCCTGTATCTATGCTTAGGATTGTTCTTCAGGTGTTCTACATGATTATTACCCTACAGGACTAGGTTTGAAGTAAACTCAGAAAATTTCTTAGCCCCCACCTTTCTTCTTATCACAGGATCTGAAAGCTAACATCCTAGACTCTAGACCTGGGAGGACTGCTCCTCCCTAGCATTTACCCAGAGCAAGGTGTGGCTGTTTTGAGAAGGATTTTAACTCTCTCTTAACTGAAAGCAATTGTCACCACATAAGAGAATTCCCAATTCCTATGTAATCACAGTTTCTCCGTTTCAATTGTGTTAAGGATTTCAGTGTGGACAGAGGGAAGGAAGGACACTTATTAGGCCCAGAACAGACACAACTACTGATGATCTCTTTCAAGAGAGAGAAGGGAGAAAACACAGCAGGGACAGAAGACTGAGATGGATCTCTCATGTCAGTCAGGAGGAAACAACTACTGTTGGGCACACACAGAAGGAAGGGGAAGATCTCAGCTCCTAGCTGCCTTTCTTCTTAACGTGGAAATACAAATTCTCCATGACAGTGTCTCAAGACAGATCCTTGATCTCGTCTTCCCTCCTGCCCCTTACACCTCTCACCTCCAGACAGTTCCTACTCCCTGCAGAGCTGAGAGTACTGAGAGTAAGTATTGGAGCATACATTTATAAATCCTGCAAGATGCCTAACTCTATCCTAGCCTTTCTTCTGTCTCTGGAAAAGGGACAAATATGCAGTGGGAAGATAATTGGATTTCATTAAATACAGACTTGAGATTGTATCATCTGCTGTCCAGAAGCCATCACACACAAGCAAAAAGAGATGTGCTACAAAGGAAAGAATACCCCTAGGTCCACTCAGGAAGAATATCTGTGAGACAGATGACCTGGGGGAGTTCTAAGGGTGAGTAAGAGAATAGATTTTGTGTGTCAAGTGGTCAGTCACTTTGGCGTGATTCTTTAAGGTCCCTGCAAACCCCGCGAGGATCTCCACGAGTCAAAAGTACGGGATTGTGGAGTACCTGTGAGGAACAGGACAAAAGACACAGGACAGCCAGTGAGGTGGATCACCTGTTAAGAACAAAGGCAGCCTAAGTGACGAAGACACACAATTCCTAGGGACTTGGTTGTTCTTCTAAATAAAGTAGACCCACGGGTTTTCCAGTCTTTCTTTCAAATTTACAGTCTAGCTGTCTTCTGCACAATAACCAAAACCCAAGTGTACTGCAAACTCTGCAGCTAGTAAAGAATTGCTGGACTCTTGCTTCTTCACATGTTTTTTGACAAACTGAGCAAGGAGAGGCATGCTGACATTTGGCATTGCTGAAGAGACAAAAATAATTATATTCATTATACCTGTTAGTCATCAACAAGGTTTTAAACTGAGAGAGGGTGGATGTAGATTGGCTATAATGAAGAAATTTTTTATAATGACAGTAGTAAGACACTAGAATAGGTTGCACAGAGAACCTGTGAATGCCCCACCAGTGAAAGTGTTCAAAGGCAGGTTGGCTGGGGCTTTGAGTAACCTGGTTTAATAGAAGGTATCACTGCAAGGTATCATTTGGACTGGGTGATCATTGAAATCCCTTCCACCCAAAACATTCTGTGACTTGTGCGCTGCGTGGCACAAATACAAATTTAACATACATTAAAATTGCAAGGATGCTTCAAAGCTCTACGGCACATTCTTATAAAGAAAAGCAGTGTCTACATGGCAAGACCAAGTGGGCTCTGCAGCTGGTCTAAGCACTCAAGTGGGAGCCTGGGCTGATGTTTGGGCAGTAATGTGCTCAGTAGCCTTCACTGCTGGAGAATCAGGAACTTGTTTTTAGCCAGTGAGTGCTCCCATACATACAGCATCCAGGGTAACTGTGAGGCTGGTCCACTTCTGAATGGGCTCAAACTTCTGTTTCCCTGGACATGACAACTCCCAGAACTGAACATTCTTTGCCCTATACCTGTGAAAGTATAAGCACCCGGAAGTCACCCCTAGGTGACCCTAGGTAAGCTAAAGCAGTAAGCCATGAGATGTAAAGATCAAGTAATGTGCAAAAAAGGTGGTGAGATGAAGCAATAAATTCACATGCACACAAAAGAGAACACAACACTTCAACTTGGGCAACCCCCTTCCTTACCGAAGTGCTTGAAACTATGGCAAAAGAAGGCACCTAGTGCAGATCATAGAATCACACAATATCTCAAGTTGGAAGGGATCTATAAGGATCATCAAGTCAAAATCCCTGCTTCTCACAGGACTGCCTAAAACTAAACCATATGAGTAAGAGCGTTGCCCAGATGCTTCTCATACTCTGACAGGCTTGGTTCCTGACCAAGCTCTCTCGCTGTGAAGAACATTTTCCCAACATCCAGTCTGAACTTCCCCTGAAACAGCCAGAGAAGAGAGATGGAGAAGGTGCAGGCAGTCAAGCACGAAAGCTTGCACAGGAAAGACAAAATTAGGAAAAAATACTTAAAAAAAAACCCTTTCCAAGGTTACATAATAAAAGCAAAAAACCTAAAATCTAAATATGTCTTAGGGAAATAGAGCCAAAGAAGTAGATTAGGCTGCAAATTAATGAGAACTCTAAAATTAGATTAAGAAAGAAATTACAAACTGTATTTATTTTTTTTTTTACAATTACAGTCCCAAGAGTTATTAGGAAAGAGATTGAAAATTGATAAAACCTTTAAAAAATGTATTTTTTTTTTAGTAAAAGTACAGGAGAATCAATCAGGCAATTGCCATCTGTAATTACTGGTATTGCTGTTATTTTCACATGGCACTTCACAGCAATAGATTACAAACATTAAAATTTCTGAGCCTAGTAAAATGTTGCTGTGCTTTAAGGAAAAGAAAGCCAAACATGAATTGCCCATCCTTTCTGGTGGTATTAACATACACACATTTGTCTAGTAATCTTGATTGATTTTAAGGCAAGGAAAGAACAAAATGAAAGCAGCTGATGAAACTTGACTAGGTATTTTAAAATAACTTTGCATTTGGAAAGGTAAATAACATCTTAATTAAAATTAATTTTATTAACTTCCTATGAAATGAAATTAGGCTGATGAGCTATGATCAGTAGACACAGATATACTGAATCAGAAGAGATGTCTATACAAAAAAATTGCTGTTTAGTCTTTTTGAAAATCTCCATCTGTGATCAACAAAGGACAGTGCATATGTCACATAAATGAAATCACATAAAAATAGAAGGTAATGTACAGAAGCAAAGGAAATCATAACCATATTAGGAAATAATTTTCTAAAAATTAAACCCTGCCTATCTGCAAGTCCTATGGCTCATAGTTTTAGAAAAATGTTGACATCTGTTGGTGAACAAGGAGCAGGGCAGCTCAGAAATCCCTGAGATACAGAGAGCACTTTTCCTGTTCGGTGCTGGAGGGTTGAGTCCCATATGCATGCCTGCTGTACAACAGCTCAGATCACTCCCCTTTAAATATTGTTTGGTTTTAAAGCAGGGAATTAGTGTATCACCACTGCTTTCATTTGAAAAGGAACAGAAAAGAGGTCCTTGCATGTGGGTCATGCCAATCTACTACAGTCTGCAGTGATGTGGTAAAGGATAAGGAAAACTAACAACTTTATCCTTTCTAAACTAAAGGATAGGAATTGATCTGCTTTACACTGTCAGGGCGCAAGGGAAAGCAGGGATACTGGGACAGCTCAGAAAAGCTGAGAATGAAAAACAGGCAGGCTATAATTCAGGTGGGACGCAGCAGGTGACATTCTTAATTGCCTGTCACAGACAGTTCACACAAAATTACGGTTAGACTGATGAAGGTTTGTGCCCTACTGTGGACTTCAAGGGTAGCATTGCATCTTGCAACAAAAAAGTGCAATTCTATATACCGAGCATAACTTCCTCCCTAGCACTGTTATATTTTATAATGCAACAAGCAGAAGTAACTACAAGCTATCCCTGATCTCTTAAATTCTTTTCCAACTCAGCAGAAGTGTGACACATTGTGAGTTTCTTTTGGATTCTGAGACTAACCAAACAATACCTCAGAAGAAACATATGCCAACTTTAAAAGCTGACAATTTTACTTAGCTCTTCATTATTGCAGCTAGCTAGCTAGATATTTACAATTGACCAAAGTTTTAAAGCCTTATTTCAAATAACATGGGTGCACAAATTATCACTCTCATTCGTGTCCTGTGAGCTCTCCTTTTGGTATTAGTTTCCCCGGGAACGCCTTCACCCCACTCAAGCCACACTGGGTTGAATCTTGTCTTCCCTTGCAGTTGGCATCAGGGGTGTCCCTGCTGATGGCTGGGCTGTCAGTCCATCTGCAAGCTGGTGGCGAGTCCAAGTCGATACAGTGTGTGGCTTCTGTCTTCATTCCTTTCTTACACCCTGTGCTCTGCCCTTCCAAGCCAGTCAAGCGTGAACCCAGTGCTCACGATGAGCTTGGGTTCAGTTCCTGTTCCAATCACAAATTAATAGCCAGGGCCATTCCTTTTTTGGTTATTCTGTTTGCTGTTATCTCGTAATGCCATCTTTGAGCTTGTGCAGACATGCATTCCTCATTCCTTTTCCCAGTTCCAGTGCAGTGCCAGCATGACCAACACAGCTGGGCAAGTGAACTTGAGGCCACAGCCTGTCCTGGTGGGGTTTTGATCAACCTACACAGTGCAGCGGCTCAAGCCATGGCATACCTGGGGAATTGACCTTTTGACAGCAACCCCAAGTTCCTCCCTTCTTGATGGGACCCACCTTGAGTCCTGCCCTTGCCTGTGTAGGACCTGCCAATAAAGTTCCAGCTGAGCTGTGCTGCCCTATGCCATCTTATATGTTTTATGTCCAAACCTTGTTATCTCTAGCTAGTCTTTGAATAAGCCTATTCATAATTTTAGCACGTCGCTGACCAGCTTTAGATGGGCTTTGTGTCCTGGGAGGCTGTTCCAGACTGTTGCTGCAATTAGATATTTTTCAGGACATTTTACTGCCCGGGCTATTCTTTGCTGTTTGGAGTAATCATTTCACTTGTCTTCCACTCTGCCTGAAAGCTATTGTCAGATTTTTCATTTTCACTTCACCTAAGCATATCCATCAAGCTCTGAAATCTTTTCTTTGTATTCTCCCCATCTTGCTTAGCGACTGTCTTTAGTTTCAAAATTGTCTCTACAATGTATGTTCTGAGGACAGGCCTGACACGAGGCTCCTTTACAATGCCTTAAAGGAGTCTCTGCTTCTAACCTGCCTTCCCTCCATCCATACCCTAATAAAAGCATTATGACACTGATATCACCTAAAATGCTCAGTCTTTTTGCTACTATCTCTGTCCCCTGATCCATAAAGCTCTGCCCATACAGCCCTTAAGAAAGGCCTTAAACAGTATCTACGTAGTCTTAGAAAGTTACTAAGGGACATAGCTTGTAGTACTGGCTTTAAATTACTTACCTAGGAGGTTGCACTGCTGTGCTGAAAACGTGGAGTTGGCTGAAAATAGGATACATATAACATCTGCAAATGATCTCCACTAAGAGATATCCTTTCCTTTCTACAATTTATCACTTTCCTAAACTTGATTTGAGCATGTTTGACTGCTGTAGATAATTTGGCATCATTTCGACATGCTGCAATTATTAAATGCTGGATTACGATGTATACATCATATGGCTGAAAAAGGACCAGTCCCAAACAGAAATTTCATTGCCAAACATGAGGCAGGGGTTCTGCAAAAATTTATATTAAATCAACTATAGTTGATTTATTATTAGAAAATTTAGATTAAAAGAAAGAGGTCAGACTTGATGAATGGGGATTGTAGAGAACTTGTGTGTTAGCACTGACTGGAGAATGTAAATTCAGTGCCATACAGACTCATTAGATGAAGAAGTATCTCCTGTATTTTTGCTCTGCCTCCCCTAACAAGACCTGCTAGACCTGCTGGACCAGAACCAGCTTAGATGCTTCTCTCTGTGTTCCTCAGTTTATCGGGGTCTAGAGTCTACGTACAGAACCTCCCACAGATCTAATCTGCAATCAAATAACTCATCCATGTTAAACTGCAAACTGAAAGCAGCTAGAAGCTTCTAGACCAAATGCACAGAGAAACCACAATTCTTTCCTTCTCCACCTTCCCCCTGCTTACTCAGTTTGAAAGTGCACCAAAGTGTGTTTGCTAGTGGTTGAAAAGCAACCTGTAGATTTTGCAGTTTACACCCACTTGCTGAAGTAACTACAGGTTCTTTATTTAGGCTCTATTGCTACTACTTTCCTTTGGCATCAGCAGAGCCCACCTAAGGCTGCTGGAGTTTTTGTGCACCATGCAGATACAGCTTTATACCAGCACAGAACAAATCTAGGTTGCACGCAGGATCAGGACTCACAGAGCAAGCTCACACACTGCCAAACTTTCTGCATCCTTTCCAGGGATCCCTTCTGACTTTATGAGGTCTGCATTGTATGGGCCCGTGCTGCGAGGGGAAAAGCAACTCCAGAGCACTGAACACCTGCCTGCGAACCCCCTTCCTTTCAACCTCAGTACTCCAGAGGTTTTGTTCATGAAAGCTCAAACATCACGCTGAAGATGCAAAGGCAGAACGCGCACAAGAAGCAAGCAGCTGTCCATCCCTCCGCCGCTCAGCGAGCGTGTGCGGTACGGACGCGGTTGCGCAGCCCCGGTGCATTTTTTGGAGCCGGCGGCGCGGAGGAGCGTCTGCAGCAGGTTGGCAGGCGGGGCTGCTGTGCCACTGCACCCGCCCAGAGCCAGCATCCAGCGGGAAAGCGAAGGGAGAGAGTGGAAAGTTCAAGAAGAGCCGGGAAAGGTGTCACCCTACGCGGGGGGGGAGGGGGGGGGGGGGGGGGGGGGGGGGGGGGGGGGGGGGGGGGGGGGGGGGGGGGGGGGGGGGGGGGGGGGGGGGGAGGAAGGGGGCAAAGCTACACAGGGCGGCCGGTATTAATGGCTTGCAGTGGAAGGTTGAATCCCTGTAACACTCTTGCTGTAGTTATTTATGCCCAAGAGGATGGACAAGGTTCTAGTCTGATTTTAGATCACTGGATGTTGCAAATGATTTGGCCAAAAGCACCGTACATCGTTTTCACTTATGCATCCCCAAATATTCCACCGGCAGGTTGAGGAATAAAACGGTGCTGACTTTATCCGGATGCATACAGATGGGCAAAACACAGAGCTTACACTCTGTGCTTTAAGCACGTCTTCACCTTCCCTAGTCCCGGGTAACAAATCGTTTTCCAGCGCATGGCTCTTAACGTGATCCCCAGCCCTGCAAGCCAAGGGATGCCTGAGCTCGCTGCCGGCGCGGTGCTTCCGTGCCCACTTGTACAACCTTTCCTACACTTTCCACGACCGCGTTGTGGGCGAAAAGAACACTTACACGGGGCTGCTCATACCGAAGGGGGACGAGGAGGGCTGCTGCTACTGAGAGGGCAGCAAGGTTACTTTCACTCTAAGTGCAGCTTACAGGAAAACCCATCCAAGGCAGGGCAAGGCGCAGCAGCTCCTCCTTGCTGCCGGGCCAGGCGCCCCTGCAACACCTGCGAGCGGTGGGCGCTCCTGCTCCGCAAGCCCAGCGCTGTAAATGCCCGCCTTCCTCCTGCCATGAATAATCTATTCCTCTTCCTCCTCCTCTTCTTCTCCGTAGCCCCCGCCGCCCCAGTCGTGTAATGCGGCCAGGCGGCTGCCTTACCCCCGCCCCACCAGCCCTGGCCTCTCCGCCCCCGGGGGCGACGCACACTTTCACCCCGGCCCCTGGCACGGCCAGGCGCTTTGCGGCAGCCCGGCGGCTGCTCTAGAAACTTCTCGGTCCCTCCCTCTCCCCTCCCCTTCCTCCTCCTCCTCCTCCCCGCCGATCAGGGGCCGGCGCTGCGGCGAGAGCAGCAGGCAAAGGAGGCGTGCGGCGCCCGCCCCCGCCCGCGGTGCCCGGAGCCGAAGGTGCAGCGAGGCGCTCCCCCAGCCCCGTTCCCGGTGTCCCAGTCCAGCACCGACCCCGCGAGGCGGCCCTTCCCTGCGCAGCGGTGGCAGCGGCGGGCGGGATGACGGCGGAGGAGATGAAAGCGGACGGGGCTCCCCTGGAAGGGACAGACATCACCCCCAAGCAGGATGAGGGCGTCCTCAAGGTACGAGACGGCTGTCTCCCATCCTCACCCCCCGCGCTGTCTCGGGGGGGTCCCTGCGCCAGCGGGGAGCGGGAGGCGTTTCTCTTGGCCTGCGAGCGGGTGCTCCCCGGGCGCCCTGCCCCGTTATGTCCCCCACAGAGCAGGGGACGAGGCGGTCCCCGGGCAGCGCGGCCGGGCTGGCGCAGCGCGGGCGATTAAACCTCGGCGGCGGCGAGCGCGGGAGCGCGCCCGGCTGCGCAAGCGCTGCCCGCCCGCCCGCGGGGGCTCCCACGCGGGGGCTGCCGGCGGCTCTCCTCTCCTCTCCTCCCGGCTCCCACCTCCCTGGCCCGGGCGAGCTGGAGCCCAGGCTGCCCGCTGGGAAACCGCGCGGGGGGGGGGGGGGGGGGGGGGGGGGGGGGGGGGGGGCGGGGGGGGGGGGGGGGGGGGAGGGGGCAAGGGTGGTTGCGGTGCATGGGAGAGGCGCTTTCCCGCTCCGTTCGGGCTATTCCCCGGGTCTGCGGGATGGGAGGGCCGGGCCAGGCCAGGCTCTCACGCCGCGGCTCTGCCCGCACGGCAGGTTTCGGGGGTCCAGGTCCGCCCCCCCCCGCCAGCACGTGTTTGGGGCTGGGAATTAAAGATGGAGCCCCGGCCGGGCACGTGGGCGCGGTGCGGGTCCCCGCCGGTGCCCGGCCGTGCCGCCCTCCGCTCCGCTCTTCGGGCACGGCGCTCTCTGTCGGGGCCCGGCGGCCTCCCCAGGCCCGGGGGTGCGCGGTGCGGGCGGGCCCGGCGGCAGCAGCGGAGCGGGGCGGCCGCCCCTCGGTGCCGCTGGGCAGGCGGGCAGGTCTCCGGCGGTGCCGCGCATTCCGGCGGAGCGGCTGCTCCCCTTTGTAAACTGGGAAGCCAGGCGATAAGGGCAGCAGAATTTATACCGTGAGGGGGAGTAGCACGAACTTCCTCTGTCAGACGTCGCCTATTTCCATATCTCTAGAAACTTCCTCAGTCTCTGCTAAAACCTCTAACGATCCTTAGTAGCGTTATTCAACCGCAGTAAAATTTCGGTATTCAGAAGAACAGAGTTATGGTATTCAGAAGAAAAAAGTGGCGCCACAGGAAAAGCAAAATTCTGGTCTTAACCTTTAGAGCCCTCTGGCTTAAAATTTTAGGTTCGTCACAGAGTCACCGTCTCCCATTCAGGAGGGATAGCAAGGAATGGATTGTAGATGTTGTCTTCTATGCTCTTGCTTTCTCATCTTTCCTGCTAGCATGCTTTGGTGAGAATTTCTGTTTTTTGCATATAGCAAAATAATCAGGTCAGAGTTCTCGTCTGCACGGCTGCCCAGAAGGTGTCTGTGGGTCTCCCACAGCTCAGGCCCCTAGAGCATAGTGGAAGGCAGTAATCGTCTGCCTAATCCATGCAGTATCTACTTTAGATGATGAAGCAGCAGGTGTTTGGTGGTTTTGTTTATTTGGGTTTTTGTTTGTTTGTTTTTATTTTTTTTAAGGAGAGGAGTAAAAAATACTAGCAAAATAACTGAGGTGGTAAAAACCACAGAGAAAGTGAGATGGTGAATTGATAAGCAAAATACTGTAGAGGTCATGAAGTTCAGCCTTCATGGATTTTTCTTTGCTAGTAATTTCTGGAGTGCAGAATGCACCCAATAAAACCAAGGGTCTAGCTCTGAACAAACCTACACCAGTTTTGTACTGGTATCATTGCACTGATTCCAGGAGTGTGCTTATTTGTTCATTAGCTTTGTATCAGAATAGTATCCACAGGTTTTTACCTGATATTGCTGAATGTGCTTGCACTGTTTCTTAGTTTAGAAATAAACTAGTTGAAATCCACAATATGAACTGGAAAATCCTGTTTCTCCATCTGAAAGGGAAATGTAAACCTTACAAAAAATAGGGTTGCCATATTGAGTCTATGAAAAAAATGAAACTTGAGTCTCCTTAAAATGAAATAATTGCAAAAGAATAATACTGTATAAATAATGAAAACGAGATATTCACTACTATAGGATACCTTGGTATGACACTACAAGAATATGGTATTGGGAAAAGCTTAGTAAATTTCCGTTAAATGTAATTACTTTTTCAAAAGCCTTTCAGACTGGCTGCCTTAAAATAACTAGTTTGGATCCACTTTATATACATATATTTATATATATCTATATCTAAGCATTGTGTAGGTTAGGTTGATTACCACATTCAGAGGGTTTTTTTCATAGCTCCCTGTTTCTTTATCTCTCTGAGAGTGGTTGCTTGAACAGTTGCCTTCCTTGGGAGAGATACCAGTAGATTAGTTTTGTCATGCTAATAGCCGCTGTAGCACTGAGGCAGTGCAGGGGAAAAGGAGGGTGTGCTGTGTGAGGTCAGACATCCTTTTTTACACTAAGCCTTCTCTCCTTAGGAAGCAGCAGAGGTAGTATTTCGTTTTCTGAGTTTTCTTCATTTGTTGATTTTTTCTTTGTTTTATGAATCCAGTGAGGTGCTTTCAGCTTGGTGAAAGTCTGACAGAAACTGCTAACATTGCCTTGGCTTTGGATGGAGAGTGCTGGCATTTCAGTTGTATAGGTACAGGGATGGTGGGAGGCAAAGTAGGAGATGGACAGTGGTGGGTTGTAAGAAGTTGAAATTTGTGAAGGAGACCCCCAAGGGTCTGCTTCCTTCAATGAAAATGTGAATGGTGTAGAAACATGACACTTCTATAGCTTTTCTTTGAAGGAGGGATGCCAATCCATACTTTCGAGTAAGTGGCCTTGAATAAATGTTTATCTCGTATGAACAGGATGTTTTCCAGTTCTCCATGATCCAAGCAAATAGGGTCATTCATTTTTGCCTAGCCGAAGTGATGCACAGTTTTGGCTCAGAGCTAGATGGTTTCAATTGGTATTGGAGAAAATTTAAATCTGAACTTCAGGAATCCTGTTACGGGCAAGGCTTCACTTCCTTGCCTATGAGATATGTCAATATCATTCTCTATTTTTGTGTGAATTTCAAATGAACACTGGAGAGATTGCTTGGTCTTGCTTTTTGGATAGTGTAGATGTAGTTGGTACCAGTCTTGCTAGGCAGGCTGGGGAACCTCTTGAGAAGAAGATCAGATCCTTGCAGCTGTATGTGAGATGTGCTGACAATCCATGTCAGATTTGCACGAAGACAAAATTAGTGCAATATAATAATTTCTAAGTACTTTTCTGTAAGCTGATAAAACTAACCTGCTCTGTGGTGCGATTCTGTTAACCTTTGTTAAACTGCCTGGTTTAACTCAAGTAATCTCAGACTACATGTTAGTATAGACTTTGCATGGAAACAACCAGCTTGTCTTCTTGTTTAAATGCTTTGCTTAGAACACTGAACTCGGGTGTAATGATAAAAAGGTGGTGAGGCAAATACTTGAATCAAGCGAAAACCTGCTGCCTAATACTTTACCAGTTTGAGTTTCAAGAACATTTAAAATCTTACTGAGGAAAGGTAAGTGACATGGCTAACTATAGATGCAGAGATCTGCAAGCTGTTGCCAATTAAGTTCTTGTATCACAGCACAGCCATCTTGAGGTTCTGCATTTGCAGCACTGCTAATCTGCAGACAGAATAGTCAGTCCATTTCCAGATAACTGAAGTAAACCTCCAAATCCTTTATCTACTGAAGATGATAATGCATGCATCTAAGTAAATGGACTTAATGTCCAATAGGCAGACTTAGTTTCCATGATCCTAATGTTGTTTGCTTAATGTTTTTCTCAGGTTGTCAAGAGAGAAGGCAGCGGGACAGAGTCTCCAATGATAGGTGATAAAGTGACTGTCCATTACACAGGATGGCTTCTTGATGGCACAAAATTTGACTCCAGTCTGGACAGAAGAGACAAATTTTCATTTGACTTGGGGAAAGGTAATATCTTGTGTTTGGTATTGATTAGTTTCTCTATAAGTTGAGGTAGGATTTCCATGCATGTGTGCTTCCTTTGCCTTTTGAAGTTACTACTTAAACTTGTTTTCAGAGTTTGTTCTCTCAGAATTGCCCGGTCAGAGTGTCTTTGAGATTTTTCTGAGTAAGAAAACTGTGTAGCCCCTTGAGGCCTGATGAAGGGTTCACAGGCCTCAGACAAAGCACTCCTGGGGAGCAAATTTGCCCTGAAGTGTAGTGACAAAGGGTAGTTAAATAGCCACAATATGCATTTTGTTGGTTGTTTTTTTGTTGGTTTTTTTTGTTTGTTTGTTTGTTTGTTTGTTTGTTTGTTTTTGGTTTGGCAGACTCCAATTCAAGAGTATTCCGTTGTGACCGGATACTGGGACAGGGTGCACAGAACCAGCTGTCAGCTGCTGCATGATGAAATATACTCCCTTTTCCACAAAATTCCCAAGTTAACCCCAATATGAATCTTTGAGCATTGCATCTCTACATTATCAAAATCCTTCATTTTTTGAATGCAAAAATCCAAGCATCTTTTTTCCAGCAAATCTTATTCCTCAATGTTACGGTTTTCCCTGGCAGTTCCTTACCTGCTGCTTTTAAATAAGTGGGTAATATATCTTTTTTAAAAAAAGAGATTAATTCATTGTACTGAAATTTGAGATAATAAGTGTACCTATTAATACAAGATTAATAGGCTGCTTGATAGAGTTGAAAAGAGCAGCAAGTAGGAGAACTTGAAAAAAAGAGGATTTTGTTACAACTTCTGTTCCTTTCTGGCTTCAGAAGGAATACTATTTCTATTTTCCTCCCCGTTTTTGTTACAAATGTTTGTAACTTTGTTACCATTAGTGCTGCTCATTGCCAACTGATAAAGTACAGAGAGAAAAGCGTGTTGGTTTGGATTGTTTTCAAAACACGATCAGGCAATCTCTCACCCTGAGACCTTCCTTTCGGAAGAGTTTATTGTTACTTCCTCACACTTGAGGCTGTGCCAAGCACTTCAGCCAGTGTCTGTGTTCAAATGACCTGTATTCTCTCTAAGGAAGGAAGTGCAGTGTCCTTGCCCCTGGCAGAGGGGTTGGAACTGGATGGCCTTTCAGGTCTCTTCCAATCCAACCCGTTGTATAATTCTATGAAAAGAGTTACCACACCTGGAATGAAGAAATGTAGCAAAATTTGGGTCCCCAGGAAACTTCAGAATTTAATTAGGCTTAAAACTGATGTAGGCAGGTGAGAGTGAGCACAAGTCCTTCAGTGTTTCTGCTGGTTTAGCTTTTGTATACTAAAAGTGATGATGCTGAATTTCAGCTGATCATGCTTTTCATGTGTGCCTTGCAGTCATGTGACTGACATTTGATTTGTATAGGTGAGGTGATCAAAGCATGGGACATTGCTGTGGCGACCATGAAGATTGGCGAAATCTGTCGGATTACATGTAAACCAGAATATGCCTATGGCTCAGCTGGGAGCCCCCCAAAGATACCTCCCAATGCTACACTGATTTTTGAGGTAAGTGAGAGATGGTAATTAAAACTGTACACTTAAAAACCAAGCAAAAGTCATATTTCACAGCTGAAAATGTGTGGTGCAATATGCTTTCAAAACTAGATTTTGAAAGGATTGTTAGGTTTTCTAAAGAAAACAATATAGTCAATTTTGGGTAGTGTGGGCAAAGTTTTAGTCTGGCTGCTGCTGATCTGCAATGGCGCGGGTTCCTTTTTTTTTAGCATTTTTAAAATACTTGAATGGTTTCCAGTGTTCAGTTTTAACATTAGTTATGGAATGATTTGCAGTAGGAAAGAGCAGGCTGGGAGGGTGGACTGTCTCAGTGACAGATTCTGAAGTAGCTGAGAAAATGAAATGGAGCCAGTTATTTCTCTTAACCTCACCAGGAGAGGAGAGAATTTGTCTCCTACTGATCTTAAAGTCACTCCCCCAACCCCCTTCCCAAAAGGGTGTGGAAATAGCAGCTGTCTCTTGTGTGTTATTTCAATAGTGGGAATGGTTACTCAGAATGCTGAGACTTGTGTTTGATTTTTTCCGTGGAGGATGATACTAAAGCCATTTCTGAAGCATGCTCTGACAGTCTCAACAGTGTTTAGAGAGGATATATTTTTCCTACTGTTGAAACAGTTCGATTTTCCAACAATTTGAAATAAATTCTGCAGATTCTTTTTAAGTGGGATTTTTAAAATTACCTTGCTCTAAAATACTTAATCAATTGAATGGACTCCTATGTTGGGGGCATATGGAAAGTTTTAAAACTCTGATGATTGCTCGAAGATTGAATGTTTTATCTAATATCTAAGAAAGGTAAAAATAGCTCATGAAGTAGAGAGCGAAAGTCTATTTAGATTTTATTGGAAACAAGTAGCATCTGTTAAGAAGAGTAAATTATACATAGAATCATAGAATCATTTAGGCTGGAAAAGACCTTTAAGACCAGTTTAGTCCAGTTTAAATCTAATACTGCCAAGTCCATCACTAAACCATGTCCCCAAGTACCACATCTACACCTAAATACTGCCAAGAAAGGTGTCTTAACCACTTCCCTGGGCAGCCTGTTCTAATGCAAATATCCAATCTAAACCTCCTCTGATGCACCTTGAAGCCATTTCCTCTTGTCCCGGGACTTGTTACTTGGGAGAAGAGTCTGACCCCACCTCACTACAGCCTCCTTTCAGGTAGTTGTAGAGTGCAAGAAGGTACCCTCTGAGCCTCCTTTTCTCCAGGTCGAACACCCCAAGCTCCCTCAGCTGTTCCTCATAGAACTTACTCTCTAGACCCTTCAGCAGCTTCGTTTCCCTTCTCTGGACATGCTCCAGCACCTCAATGTCTTTCTTGCAGTGAGGGGCCCGAACTGGACAAGGAATTTGAGGTGTGGACAATCACTGCCCTGGTCCTGCTGGCCACACTATTTCTAATCACATAGCTGGATATTGTATTTGTATTACATTTGGATAGTGTATTGTGTTGGTTTTTTTTTTTTCCATGCACTAGTGAGTAATAGGATTAAAGATGTATTTTGTGCAGAAGGATTAAAAAAAATAGTGCTAGCATAGGTAGTGTCCACTAAGGGATGACGAGTTGCTCATTTTGAGTACATGAAAATTAATGCCATTATTTCTGTAGTTGGCTGTTGAAAAATAGTGTCTCATAAAGCTGTTGGTAAACAGCGTCTTCTCATGTATAAATCTTAAGTTACTCATGGCTTACTTACTGGATCAAAACTACATATTGGAGTGCTGTGTGCTTCACACATATGCTCGTAATACTAAGTGTAATCAGGACAGGATTCAAGAGGGAGAGAAAAAACACTGATCTGATGATTCAAATGCAAGCTCAAGACCTTGTACCTTGGCAGCACAATGGAGCGTTCTTAAAGGCTTAGCATTAGTACACAGAATGTGCATGGACAGTACAAAGCAGAGAAGCTTTCATTGACCTGCAATGAGATAATGCCCGGTGTTTTCATAAATAAAAGTATGAATCAAAGCAAGACAGAATTTGTTCCATCAGATAACTACTGAGTCTATCTGAAGTTGTCATCCAGGTTATTCACTTGCCACTGGGTTTTTCTTAATGATGCCAGTCTGATCTCTCCATCATTTTCCGGGTAATCAGTGTTTCATTCATGATCCTTGATATCCCCTAATGCCTTCCTAAGCAGTAATATTAAAGGAAAAAAGGGAGAACGAAAGAAAAGCACTGAAGCTGCCTATGATGGTATTGTGCTTCCCTAACAAAATAGCCTGGAGCTGACTGGCGGCAACAAATATATAGTACTGGGTGTGTCCTGACTGGGGGTGTGGCTTGGAACTTAGATCTAGAAAGTTTTCCTGAGTGCTAACAGGTAAAAGTAGTTTCTGACTAGTATGACTCTCAGACACTTAGTCTTTTAAGTTTCCACTGTTTTAGTTTTTGCTTCTGTGTTTCCTTTTTATTATTTGAAACAATGTCAGCATGGGTCCTTTGCACCTGCTTAACACCATACCAAAATTTTGTACAAGTTGCCGAAAAATGTACTCTCTAAAACATACATTAAAAGATTTCATATCTGTGTCATCACATCAGCATTTCTTTATGACCTGAAGTAATGGACATCCTATGATTTGTTTTTTTGATCTGGTGGTGTTTGGTTGTTTTGGTGTTTTTTTTTTTTATTTCCTCATGATTATTTTTGCAGAACAATATAAATAGGTAGATTATTCCATAGAATACTGTTGTTCGATTTTGGGAGAAAAATAAAGGGACACACATACCTGTATGACCATCGGTAGAGTGTTCAGGAATGACTTGACTTTTTCCAAACAGACTGAAGAGAAAGACCAGAATATTATTCATTACTAGGTGTCCATCAGAATAAAAAGTTAAAGTACTCTTTGTGTTGGTGGATATTCAATTCCTTTTACATTTCAGGTATCTTAAGTCCAGTGTCAGGAACCTTCACAGCATTGGCCCTGAACTTTTTTTTTTTTTTTGAATGAGATAGTCTAAACAATTCTGATCATAATGGCTTGCTCTTTTATGCTGTGTTTACTATTGTTTTACTCAAACATAGGATACAAAATAGCTTTTTAATTAATTTCATAGCAAACACAAATATCTTTTGTGACTACATTATTCTTCCATCTCATCATGGTGCTCCCACATGAAACTATGATTTACATTAGAGACTTGGGAGGACATGTGAAGATTCAAACTGGATAGCTATTTCCTACACGAGCTCTTAAAAATTCTAAGCAATTTATTGCAGCAGGGAGTTTAGATTAAAGGTGGGCTGGATCATGGTTTTGTTGTTTTAGCATTCTGGAAGGTAGGGTTTTTTTTTTCTGAAATGATCCCACTAATACACAGTGATACAACAAGAGACTAGAAGGGAAAATGTAACAAGTAAAAAGAGAACACTGGCTCTGTCCAGGCACGCAAGGGCACAGAAGTTTTGAAACTACTGTCCTGTGGCACAAGAGTAGGAGGATGAAGAAATGGGTATTGAATGGCTGAAGTTTGAAAATACATTCTTGAATTTGCTTTAATGTTTCAGGACAAGCATTTGGAATCAGTTAAAGCTTCATTCCAAACACTTTAAAGTTGATCTGAATTTGACCACTGATGAAATTAAGGGTATAATCATGAATTAAGGATAAGGATTACATCTTTGTTTTATTGTCCTGCTCCTTTTGTCCTTGCCTTACTTAAAAATCTCCTTGGCCCGTGGATGCAGTGACACTAGTTTGTGGTTCTACTTGGCTGTAGAGTAAGAAGGTGGGACAGCTGATGGGTGCGGTAGCACTGCAGAGTGGCAAGTGAGAGTAAATTCTTCCTGGCTTAATGTGTCCAAAAGGTATTTTTTCTCATATTAGAAAAAAAACAAACCTCAACCAAAACCAACTATCCATAGTTCTGCCTGCAAACATTGGCAAAAATAGTATTAAAGAAGCCGATAATTTTTTTTTTTTAAGTAAACTAAGCATTGTGGCTTGTGTAAGCTTTATTCAGAAGCCAAGTTCACAGTCCTTTCATTTAAAGGATCTAAGTTTTAGTATTGGGAGACCAAGATTGGTCAAGAAAAATAGCTGAAAAGGCCTGAATATAACCTGAAATTTGAAGTTCTTCAATAGATTTCTATTCAGGATCTACTGGTTTCCATCCAATATCATCTTCAGAGCCTTGGCTATCCCATATCTTACAGGACTAAGATAGTGACTTCCTGCATAGCTATAGTTTCGAAGGTCACTGTAGAACAAATTCTGTGAGCTACCAAATTGGTGTAATGAGAATAAATGCAAGGCATTTCTTCCCTCCACAGATAGAACTTTTTGAGTTCAAGGGGGAGGACCTCACTGATGAAGAAGATGGTGGCATCATCCGGAGAATCCGTAAAAAAGGGGAGGGCTACTCCAAGCCCAATGAGGATGCACTTGTAGAGAGTAAGTTTGTTGTGACACAAATCGTAAATGGGTTTACCATGTGAGATGACAGAACCTTTTTCACAATCTACAACTCCTTGCCCTGAGAGAGAGGAATATGTGGCTTTTCTTTCCTTTACCAAGTAACTTAACAACCTAGAGTAAGATTTCATTCTCTTATTTCTAGCAAGGTTTACATTTTCCAGCAGCAACTGTGTTCTTCCAGTGATACTGAATCTGTTAAGTGCTTATCTGATCATAAAAGGTTGATGAGTCTAATAAAGTATTTCCATTTGCTGAGGAAGAAGGGGGGAATCGTTCTGGGACCTGTTGTTGGAATGGAAAAAACAAACAGATGAACAAGTAAAAGGGAGTTATTAAATTTCACAGCAGAAGTTCTGTTTCCTGCCAGTAGCCACCATGCATAGGTAGCTGTTAAAAAAGACTGTTTAGAAGGAGGCTTTGGCACTTTGTATGTGCTACCTGCCTATATAGAACTCCCAGTGTACTCTGCTACCTCCCACCTATCATATATATATATATATATATATGTATGTATCTTCTAATTTTAATCTGTGTTCTGTTTTTTGTTACTAGTCCAGTTTGAAGGCCGATATGGAGATCGTGTTTTTGACAAGCGGGAATTGCGGTTTGAGATCGGGGAAGGTGAAAACTTTGATCTTCCTCATGGTCTGGAGAAAGCAATTCAAAAAATGGAGAAATCGGAGGAATCCGTGTTCTATCTCAAACCCAGGTACACTTTTCCTGCTCTTTTGACACTTGAAGGGCCTATACTAAGAATCTGGGAACAATTAAGTGTTTCATTATAATGCTTTTCAGCTTTTTTCAGTGCTATGGTAAAAACTGGTGTATGAGAGGTGTTGAGCTAAGATCTCTTTGCCACTTCATATTGAAGTAGAGGCCCTACGAAACAAGTTTTAGTTAAGTCTCTATAATGTTGATCTCTTTGAATATTTTAAAAAAATTTGTTGCTCTATAACTTAGATTTTTGTGGTCTCTCTTAGTGCTTACTATATAACAGTGCATATATGGTCCTAGATATAAGCAGAATTTTCTCATTACAGTGAGAACACATCTGAAACAAGAGGGGTTGCATGGATTGTTTTCATCAAGTGTTAATTTTAATTTCAGTATTTATTAAGTTTTTTAAACTTGAACTGAACCTAGTAAGAGCAAAAAGCAAAGCAATCTGATTTTGAGGGTTTTCCTGCTAATATGCAGCTTCTTACTGGAGTTGCTTCACAGAATCTTTCTGTAGGCATTTCCTGTTTATCAGCTCATTAGCAGTATGTTAAGTGTACATAAGCTGTTCACTTAATCTTCGTATTTAATGTCTTTGCTTTTAAGAATAGTACTAAAATACCAGTGCACTGAAGGAAACACTGAGTTTCAGACCATGAATATAAAGCAAAATGTATGTACCTTGAAAGCTGGTTGTTTTGTTTTGTTTGGTTTTGGTTTTGTGGGTTTTTGGTTTTGGTGGGTTTTTTGTTTCTTTCTTTCTTTCTTGGAGGGATAACTTGCTTTTTCTTCAGCTAAGCTAAAAAACCCCAATAATAGGAACTGGTAAGAGATAAATGAAATCAATACTAGGTTTCTCTTGATTTCTTCTACCTTATGCTGCTAATTTTAGAATTGTACCTAGAATTCTTCAAGTCTTTATGTCTTGTAATAATGATGTATGGGCATCCCAGGTTTTCCTGGGGGTTTTGTCTCCATCTTCCTGTGTAGAAAATACAGCTGAATGGACAGTTCTGAACTCTCTTCTTTGTTTCTCCCTCCCCTCCCCACTCACGTCTTACAGCTATGGTTTCGGAAGCACTGGGAATGAGAAATTTCAGATCCCTCCAGATGCAGAGCTGCAGTATGAAGTGAAACTCAAAAGCTTTGAAAAGGTAGGAGCAAGAGATGAAACCCCAAAGAGATCCTGGCAGTGGGGGAAGAAGTGCGAGTGCAGCTTAAACAGGGACAGTGGAATCCTTGAATTGTGGTCTGAAATAAGGAGGCCACTGTTGCCAGAGATGATGACACATTGGAGCTCTTGGCTGAAATGGCCCTTATTCTTAGTGGATCCCTGTCTGTTGCTGTCTCTAGTGCTCTAGGCTGGTTTCCAGTAGCAGTGCAAAGCTCTGCAAAGCCAAACCTATCTCTACCTCTCTATCTCACTATGGGAAGCAACATAGCCACTTGATTTCCCTAGAGGTTGTATTGTTGTACCAAAGTTGACTTGAACTTTTCCTTTTTGGGTAGGCCAAGGAGTCTTGGGAAATGAACACAGATGAGAAGCTGGAACAAAGCTCCATTGTGAAGGAGAGAGGCACTCAGTACTTCAAGGTAAGTTACAGTCCCCAAGTGATAATAGCATTTCTTAGTCTGTCATGAGCTGGTAATGATGATTACAGCTTTTGTCGTTTCTGAGTGGTGTTCATGGTATTCTGTGAGATTTTACAGGGAGAACTAGAGGGAAAGTTGTCTGAAAAAAAGAAACTCAGTTGGATTACCCAAAGAACTAACTCTGCGGGGAGTTCTCTGTTAAAGCTGTTTGCTGTACCTACATGGGGCATATGTGAAATAGTGGCAAGGTTACAGTATTTAGGATTCTGCTGTGGGATAGTGCTGTGAATGAACAACATTCATTTGGGTAGAGATTTGTGAAGAAGCTGTTTCAAGTAACTTAACCAGCTAAAGAGTTTCCCATTATCTTTGTAAGACGTTATGAAAATGTCCCATCTTCCTTTTTCTTTGTATCAAAAGTTGAATAAAAGGTGGGAGTTCAGAGTGAAGTATATACCTCCAGCTTTAGTGGGGAACTAATAGGTATATCTAAAGATTTTCTGATCCTATGCAGGAATGGCTTTCAGAAGTAGTATGTTTTTGATGATAGAAGTTATTTTCTGATCAATTTTTTTTTTTCAGATCTATTGCTCAAGATAAGCAGAAGGGGCAAGAGGGATATAAAAGTTACTGTAATGAGCTGAGTGATAATTGAACTGCCTTGTTTACAGGAGGGAAAATACAAACGAGCAGCGTTACAGTATAAGAAGATTGTGTCGTGGCTGGAGCATGAATCAGGACTCTCCGATGAGGAGGAATCAAAAGCCAAAAGCTTGAGGCTGGCTGCGCACCTTAATCTAGCTATGTGCCATCTCAAGCTAAAGGAGTACTCACAGGCTTTGGAAAACTGCAACAAGGTAGTAGGGGTTTATTTATTCTTAAACTGCACAAGCAGTCTGACAGTTTATCTTCTGCTTTAGAAATGTAACAAACAACAGGCTATGTGGTTTCTCTTGCCTTTCTTATCAGTTGGCATTTGGGTAGTACTGAATACACTAAAAATACCTAACAGATTTTCATAATTACTGTCCACATCTTTTTCTAATTTGCCACTACATGGAGAATATTCAAGTGTTTAGAAATTATAAGCACTCGGAGAAGGCAGTCATGTTGGCATACATCTTTCAAAGAGCTGGATTAGAGCCAGGACTAAATCTTAGACATGCTGGTTCTCTGTCAGACAGCCTACTATATTCATTCCTCTTTGTACTAACTTCTACTGTATTCTACTCCCCTTATTAGTAAGCCCTGAGAAGATTCATGAGTCTGTATCAGAGGATACAGTTCCAAGCAATCTCTGGTGTTCTGACTGCATGTAGTTTTTATAAAAGTCACTACTGTATCTGTTTTGGTTTTGTTTTTCTAATGCAGGCACTCGAATTGGATAGCAACAATGAAAAAGGCCTCTTCCGGCGTGGAGAAGCGCATTTGGCTGTCAATGACTTTGAGCTGGCCCGAGGAGATTTCCAGAAAGTCATACAACTTTATCCAAGTAACAAAGCTGCCAAAGTGCAGCTGGTAACTTGTCAGCAGAAAATACGGGAGCAGCATGAGAAGGAGAAAAAGATGTACGCCAACATGTTCCAAAGGCTTGCAGACAAAGACTTAAAGGTAAGTAACATTACTCCAGAAGACTACAAAACATGGTGTCATGTGTTAGACAAGGAACAGAGGTTTAGGTATTCAGCTTACTTCTTAGAACAGATAATTATAGCAGGAGAATATTCAAGTAGACTCCTTTGGGGAGCAGAAGTTGAACTCAGAATAGCCACCAGTCAAAATTATGAGACCATCTTGTTTGAAGAAGAAGCTAGCAGTACCAAGCACTGCACAGAATGCTTTTACTTATTTCAACTGACTTTGCAACAGACCAGTGTTAATCAGAAAGAAACTGAAGTGATGAGATACAAACATGGTAATGTTCCAGTTAAAAAAGCACCTTTTTTCCTTGGACCAGTTGTTCTAAAGAACAGGCTGTCTCTTGGTGCCTGGGTGGCCCATCTAGTGAGACCTCATGTCTGCCATACAGATGGTGCTGAGCAGCATCTTGCCTCTCATGGAGACATTAAGATGTGGCTGATGGTCTCCATTTCAAATACCACAGATTGATTATCCTACGAATGGATGGTTTTCCTAATAAGCTTTCACTAGAACTTCAGTAAATACTTATTCAATTAATAACAGCAGTATGTGGATACAGGTTATAACAAGGTTGTATCAGCTAGTAAGGAACGTTCCAAGTTACTAGTGAAAATCGTATATCCTAAGACAATGTTGTTTCTTTTCCTTAGATCTGATGGTGCAGAAGGACTAGGTAGAACTGTAACTTCTAAGATAAATCTGGGATTTTCCTCTTACTCAAATTGCCTCAGTAACATTGGGGAGTGCAGAAGCTTGCATCTTGTGAGGTTATTTTTTCAGATCTTTGTGTCCACCTTTCTGGAATACGCATGGAGAATATAAACAAATTGTTAGATGTGGTTAACTGTGTCATCAAGTCTTTCCAGAGGCCTAGTGTCCTCAGATGAGTGTATCCTGACAGTTCAGTCATCTCAGATTGTCAGCTGACAATTTCCTACATGAAACACTTCACAACCATCTCTTCTTTTTTACTCTTTGGCTAAGGCAGCCTGGTGTCAACAGTCCTTGGTTACTGGAGCTTGGAAGAAACTATTTTGTATTTCTAGACATAGTGGCATAAAGCTACACAATATCTTAGTTTTGGTAGGCTTTAATGAAAAAATCTCAGGAAGGTAAAGATACAGCAACTAACCAGAATTATTTCATTCTTAGGCATCTTCACTTTTGAAATGGCAGGATATAATTGCCAGCTGTCAGGCTGTGTTGTGAAGGTTCCTTTCAGCTAGCACAGCTGCTAGGAATCTTGCTTCCTCCTCTAGGTGTGGGACACAGCAAGATCTGCTGTTGAGAGAGAACGAGTGGGTTGCTGAAGCAAGCATAATATTCTTGACAAAAGGCAGTCTCACAATCTTTGCACTGCCGACTGTTTGGGATACTGGAAAGACATGGCACTTAGTTCCAGTTTTCCTGTCTGCTTGGGATGAATCAGCTTAAAGCCATAAAATCCTTTAGGTTGGAATTCTACTGAATGTAAATGAAAGATCTCAAACAACAAACCAACACTGCCAAGTCCACCACTAACCCCACATCCCCAAGAGTCACATCTACACCTAAATACCTCCAGGGATGGTGACTCAAGCATTGCCCTGGGCTTTCAGTGAAGGAGTTTTTTCTGATATCCAATCTGAGCCTTTCCTGGCACAATTTGGGGCACATTTCATCTTGTCCTGTCACTTGTTGCCTGGAAGAAGAGGCTGACCCACACCTTGCTACACCCTCCTTTCAGGTAGTTGTAGAGAGCCTCCTTTTCTCCAGGCTAAACACCTGTGGTTCCTTCAGCTGCTCCTCATCAGACTTGTGTTCCAGACCCTTCCCCAGCTCTGTTGCCCTTCTCTGGACTTGCTGCAGCACCTGAATGTCTTTCTTGAAGTGAGGATCCCAAAACTGGACGCAGTACTTGAGGTGTGGCCTCAGCAGTGCCCAGTACAGGTGGACAATCACTGCTCAGGTCCTGCTGGCCACACTGTTTCTGATACAAAGCAGGATGCCATTGGCCTGGTGAATTCTTCTCAACAAGTTAGATGGTCTTGGGAATGTGAATTGTTTTTTTCTGTCTCCAAGCCATCTGGCCTACCTTAAATGGATATGGTTTTATATGAAATGGGATTGATGGAACTGTAAACTGTAAAGGACACTTACTCTCTAGGTCAGTCTTAAGGTCGTTTTCTTACATGAAAAACTTTGTTTTCCTATTAATGCTTTTATAATTTTGCTTTGCTCTAGTTCCAACAGTTTCTCCATTAGTGGTGGTAGTAGAAGATCAAAGTTCTGGGGAAGACTGTTTACCAAATGTCTTTCGCTTGCTAAGAAGGTAGCTTGGACCATAGTTCTGAAATTCCTGACACTGTGTGTCTTACAGTCTGTTGAATTCACCAGCCACTCTTGCATCAGTAGTTCATTTCATGAATTCAAATAGTTCACATAGGTAAAGTGTGGATTTTTAAAGGGCAGGTCATTTATTACTTTATCTTAAGCCCAGGATTGCTAGCTATCAGGTTTTCTGTGGAGAGAAGACTTGGCTCTTGTGTGCTTTATAGAATGCTTCTAAGGGTGAAAGGCTGACCTTTGATGCCTGGCTGTTCTTTTAACTGTGGTTGCAGCCATGTTGATGTAACATTAAAGGATTCTACCCCTTTTTCCCCTCCTGTTCACCTCTCCCAGCATTGCATGCCTAAGACTTTGCTTGTTTTTGTCTGCCAACATCATAATAAAAGAGATGGTTCAAGGTACTAGGCTGGCAGGTGGAATAGCAATTTCATTGCACTAGTTTTTGAGATGAAAATTTTTACTTCCCTTTACTGTGTTTGAAAATTACTGCAAGGTCAGGATGTACTGGTTATGTCCTATTGAAAAAACTAACCTTGGACCCCTGCCACGTGGCTCTCTGCCTTCTACACCTTTTTGTGTGGACTGGAAGATGCAGCAAGGGAAAGGGCTTTAGAGCAGCCACCTCGTCAGATCATATTTTCTTCCAGATGAGCTTTTACAGACGACATCCAAATCACTGTTGAGTTGAAGTCACTCTTCATGGAACAAGTTGTCCAGCGAAGATACTTCTTTACATGCTGAGCCCAAGTGTGCCTCCTATGGATTGGCGGGGGTGAGGGGTAGGCTATGGGAATGGCTAAAAGTGAATCACATTGAAACTGAAGCAGGACAAAAGCAGTTCTGTGCAGAAGCTTTGTAAACGAATTTTGGTTAAAAGACTTCTCTAAGAAAGTGTTGTATGGCAAGCATGTGCAGGCATTATGAATCATAACCATCTAATATCAATATTATATCTCAGCCTCTTCTAAACTGCATCTGGTTTCTTAGATGCATGAAAAATGAAAAGAAATTTTTGATTTCTCTTGGCTGAAGATCCTACTATATTAATTCAGTCTTGCAGGGGAGACTAGGCTTCTTAGTGATAAGAATCAATGTTTGTGCTAGCAGTTTTGTAATTATACTAATATATTTTCTTTGTCTCTCCCATTTAGTCAGCTGCTACTCTTCAGACCAGCCACACTGAAGATGCAGAAATGAAAGATGAGCAGAATGGAGTTGAAGATAAATCAGAAGTTGAAGCAGAAGCATAAAAACAAACCTTATTCCATTAGTTTTGTAAATGAAAGAATTTCCAGTGAATTAGACCTTTATTTTTCTACCTGTTTGGATAGTGGCTTCAAGGGAGCAGAGGCTGAAGCCACCATGCCACAGTCAGTTACAGCTTTATGTGGCTGTTCAAGAAGCTGTGGCAGCATAAATCCGGTTTAATCCTAATGACTTTATTTATTCATTCAGCCTCTGTTACTGTTTGGGTTCTGTCTGGATTTACTCTGCTTGGTTTATTTGCATTTTCATAGAATCATAGAATGGCTTGAGTTGGAAGGGACCTCAAAGATCATCTAGTTCCAACCCACCTGCCATGGGGCAGGGACACCTTCCACTAGACCAGGTTGCTCAGAGCTCTATCCAACCTGGCCTTGAACATTTCCAGGGATGCGTCATCCACAGCTTCTCTGGGCAACCTGTTCCAGTGCCTCACTGCCCTCACAGTAAAGAATTTCTTCCTAATATCTACTCTAAACCTACCCTCTTTAAGTTTGAAGCCATTGTCCCTTGTGTTTCCACTACTTGCCCTTGTAAATAGTCTCTCCATGTTTCTTGTAGGCTCCCTTCAGGTACTGGAAGGCCACAATTTGGTCACCCTGAAGCCTTCTCTTTTCCAAGCTTAACAATCCCAATTCTCTCAGCCTTTTCTCATAAGTAGAGGTGCTCCATCCCTCTAATTGGTGGCCTCCTCTGGACTCATTCCTACAGGTTGATGTCCTTCCTTTGCTGAGGACTCCAGAGATAGATGCAGTGCTCCAGATGGGGTCTTACCAGAGCAGAGCAGAGGGGCAGAATCACCTCCCTCAACCTGCTGGCCATGCTACTTTTGATGGAGCCCAGGATACAATTGGCTTTCTAGGCTGCCAGTGCGCATTGCCAGGTCATATCCAGCTTCCCATCTGCCAGCACTCCTGAGTCCTTCTCAGCAGGGCTGCTCTTGATCTGTTTATGTCCAGCCTATATCGATATCAGAGCTTGCCTCAACACATGTACAGCAACTTGTACTTGGCCTTGTTAAACCTTGTGAGATTCCCATGGGCCCACTTCCCGAGCTTGTCCAGGTCCTTCTGGATAGTATCCCATCTTTCAGGTGTGTCAAGTGCATCATTCAGCTTAATGTCATCTGTGAATTTGCTGAGGGTGCACTCAAACCCTTCATTTGTGTCATTTATGAAGATACTAAATAACACTGGTCCCGGTACGGACCCCTGAGGGACACAACTTGTCACTGATGTCCATCGGGACTCTGACCCATTGACCACTACCCTCTGGATGTGACCATCCAACCAATTTCTTATCCATCTAACAGTCCCACCCACTGAATGCATCTCTCCAATTTAGAGAGAAGGATGATGTGGGGGACTGCATCAAAGGCTTTACAGAAATCCACAAGAGTGACATCTGTAGCCCTTCCTTTGTCCACTGATGTAGTCACTCCATCACAGAAGGCCACTAGGTTTATCAGGCAGGACTGGTCCTTGGTGAAGCTGTGCTGGCTGTCTTGAATCATCCCCCTGTTTTCCACGTGCCTTAGCAAAGCTTCTAGGAGGATCTGTTCCATGATCTTCCCAGGCACAGAGCTGAGGCTGACAGGTCGGTAGTTCCCATTCTGTCATTGATGTTTGTTTCTTTCTGGTTCCAGCTTACTTGAATCCCAGGTTCTGCTTTCTACATTTATTTCCTTGATTTCTTTCAAGTAATCAGCTTTTTCCAGGAGTCCTCACACGAGACTTCAGAACAAATTGGCACTCCCAGTTCTGCCCTAGGGTTACCCTCTTTCCCCGTGTTCAGTAGGGAGTCCCTTCCATTAAATATTGTAACTTTTCTTGTATGCCTCCTCTTTGCAAATTGCTGAAGGTGAAGACTGAAGTCACAGCTTAAGTAATAAAGCTCCAATTAAACTCAAGAAAACTGAACTTTTTGTGGGTTTTTACTGGAATTTGCACAGAATTGAGAGAATTTACTGCCCTTTGCTCATTCAGTGTTTTCTCATCCACATAGCCACAGTGTCTTGATTATTTTTCTGTGTTGTTTGTTCATTACCATAGAAAATTCCCACAATATTTGATGAAATATTTACCCATATATTTGCAAGAGGAAAAAATATGTTGCTGAAAACTGTTCAAAAAGCAAGTCTGTAACCTATGCATAGAGCTTATTATCTGTTCATATTGCTACCTTCCTCTTTGCCCCTCCATGTTGTAAAATTGGACCAGAGGAAAAACCCTACAATATTTATACCTGAAAGTGACTGGCTGTGAAGAGAAAGTTAAGTGATAATGGTTTACGTATTACAAATACTTATAAATCCTAATGAACTATAAACTCCTGAGTGATTCTAATATCTGCTTATCCCCATCTCACAAGAAAGCAATTACTTGGTATTCTGCTTCTTTCTGCAGTTTGTGTGTCTTGTTTGGGGGTGGGTGTGCTTTTGGGTTTTGTGGGGGCTTTTTGCTGGGATGGGTTTTTTGTTTGCAGGCATGGAACACAGTACTCAAACTCAGCTGTTCTGTTTATCCTGTCGTGTAGTGTTAAACTCAGCATCTCCAGTGTCCTGTTTTAAGACCATTCTAGCTGCAGGGGCACATCTTTCCTGCTCTGCAGAAGGAAGGTAGTTAATCCGTTCTTCTCAGATAAAAAAAAATGGTTGGGTGTTTTTTGGTTTTGTTTTTTTTTTAATGGTGAGAAAGATTTGCATGGCATGCAATGGGCTGGAATTGTGTATGTATTGCAGAGAGTATCTCTGTTTTAACATGAATTATGTTGGAAATCTTAGTTCGAATTCCCAGTCTCCTTTCCTGAGACAGAAATACTGTATAAGTGCTTACTTATGGGGTTCTTTGGGGCTGGGAGGTTGAGCTCAGAAACAGCAGCTGTAGAACTGGACTGTCACCAAAATGGTAAGAGCTGCTTGACACATTGTACTGGGTCCAAGATGATAAATTCACCACCTGCTGCTCGGCTGTCTGGCTTAGGGAGCTTTGAGCTGCACTGCTCTGCACAGGGTAGCAGTGCTCTGAGCTTCAGTGATGTGCAGGTGAGATAGGAGAAGAGGCAGGATAGAGTGTTTGGTAGATCATGTTCAAGGAAATGCTGATTTGATTTGCCTAATAAAATCTTGGTGCTGCCAGGTAATAAAGGTGTTTTTCATGAATTCTAACTTGATAGCAGTATGTGTATGTGGAAAAACTTGTACCAAAGCATTATTGCCTCTTGTGGGAAACAACACAGTGTGAGTGTCGACTGGAGTTACAACAAGGGCTTAATAGACATGGAAAAGTGTGAAAGGGGGCAGGAATGCCAAGCGAGAGTACTTTCTCTCCAGCAAGTAAATACCTTGATTTGTTGGTAATTATTATTGGAAATAACAGCCTCTGACGGAAACTGTTGTTGCTGTTGAAATAACCATAGCACCAAGTCCTAATGATAAGCTGTTGAACAGCAGTTTTCAAAGGTCTCCCACAGGCACGACAGTTCTACTACATGTTTGTGAAAGCAAAAAGTGAGATGATTTCTGTAGCACATCTGAAAAATTCTAGAGTCAATGGTGGATATGTTAAGTGTGAGCAGTCTTAAAAGTACTACCTTGCCCTCATTGTTACTACATAACGAACCATGAAATGTTTAAGAATGTTAACCTACTAAGGACACTAAACATGCTTTACTCAGGCAGCTGAAAGGATGTTCCGTGCTGTCGTTACAAATGGGTCTAGTTGCCAGCAGAAGGTGGCATACTAGTGTTTTATCAGTGAGGTCATGCATGTAAACTTCAAATATAAACTATTCGTTATGTATGTCCTTATAGAGGAAAAAAAATGCTCAAAATAAAGAATTACGATACTGACTTTGTAAACCACACCCATCTGTCTCTCTCGGTTTATAAAAAAAAAAAAAAAAAAAAAAAAACAACTTCATCCCGGGCGGTGTTCGTGTGATAACCGTGCGGTAATTTTGGAGTAACAGGAGCATCCCGACTCGCTGTCGGCTCTGGAAGAGGAAAGCAGGGGGGCTCTTCGCCGGGAGCTCCGCCCCGCGCTCCCGTGATTCCCTGCCGCGCCTGCGCTTCCCGGCTCCCTCGGTGCCTGCGCTTCCCGGCTCCTTCGGTTCCCGCGGGTGCGGCGGGCCCGGCGGGCGGGATGCGCTCGGTCAGCTACGTGCAGTGCGTGGCGCTGGACTTCGCGGGCAGCCTCTTCCCGCACGCCATCTGCCTGGGGGACGCCGACAACGACTCGGTCCGCAGCGCGGGGGCGGCGGGAGGCGCTGCGGGCGGGGCGGGGCGGGGGCCGGGCTTGGGCCGCGCTCGGACAGGGGGCGGCGGCCCCGGGAACCCCTGGCGTGGGGCCTGGATGGTGTCTGTCCGGAGGGGAGGTTGGCTTTTGGTCCCGAAGAGAGAGACACTCTGCCGTCGCGGTGGTGGCGGCGATGTAGGGGTGTGGGAAAGCACCTTGCTGGGGCACAGCAGATCACAAACAGGGCAGAGCCAAGACTCAGAGTCTCTTAAACTGTGCGAGGGATGGATGCGCATTGGGAATGTTGCTGTCAGCCCCCACAAATGGTTAGTTTTGTTGTGGCTGATTTGTCTGTAACTAGGAAGAAGTTAGCTTAACCAGGTATATGTAAACTGTTCCTTCTCATCAACAGTCAAATTTTATTACGGCCTTATCCTGAAAAGTGCTTGGCTAGGTATGAGGTAGATAAACAAATATTCTCACAAGAAGTTATGTTATATGGGGTAAGGAGTGCAGGGAATTATGGAATGCATGCAATTTGAATACACAGAGGCATGATGCAGGAGGTGGGATAGTGGGAGTAGGCTTGTCAGCAATGGTGGTTGGTGATTTTTAGCAGTCATCTTTGAAGAAATAATCACCATTCTGAAAGACCTTTGCCGCTTCATCAGTGAGACTGAACATCGAGTTTAAATCTTACGTGAAGTGTTCTTGCAGCCTCTTTCTGGATGGTTATGTTTTCCTCATTGCCGTCGTCTTCCTTGGGTAATTTAAGTCAATCTAGGTTGGAGGATGGAAGGTGGG